ATCACATCATTACGTCACAGTTTGTTTACCGCAATGACTGCCGGTCAATCGACGTTTATATTGTACAGGGGTGCGTAGCGCAGTGCGTGTTTGTGTAGCGTTAGCCTTAGCATAAGGCCTACATACAGTACTACTTTCGTCTAATGTCACGATTAAATCACCCATTACGGCATGTAATGCTTTGTCAACAAAACTAGACGCAGCAAAAATCAAACATACCTGACTTTGAAAACTTTCAAATGATCTTTATTCTTTAACTGGCCGTTCTAGAATGTTCTTTAGAACAGGTAAACAAACTGTGACGTAATAATGTGATAGGTCCATTGGTGAATAGGTGACAGATGCTGAAAATATCTTTCCTCCCATTAGGTGATATTTGACCTGTTCTTCACGGGCGCGGAGACGAGTTCTACCTGCCTGCGGTGGGCGGTGTTCCTGATGGCGGTATTCCCGCACGTGCAGGCCCGCATCCACCGCGAGCTGGACGCGGTGCTCGGTCCGCACGGGGAGGTCTCCCTGGACAAGCGCGCCCAGCTGCCATACCTGGACGCCACCATCAGCGAGGTAGTTAGCTCGAAACACTTTAGAAAGTCAGATATTTCAGCATGCCTTAAAATATCTGCAAAGGTTCCGTTTTTTTTACACAACTGACGTAAGGAATCCTTCACACATGCTTTAAAGCACGCTTAATACTGGTTTCACAATTCTAAGCCGGGGCCCGGCAGGGCTGTTTGAATGAACGAAAAATACACATTCTTATCAGGAATATGCACAAATGATGCTTATGATTATATTTAAAACTTATTTTTTTGTGGGTTTTGTTGTCTCTTATATCATATTTTTCGTTCTCGCAAGTTTGGCTATCTCATAGTTGTACCAGCTACACTATATAACAAAATGATGTCCATCTTCTATTCTATGTCATTATTCATTCATCCATCCATCCATCCATCCATCCATCCATCCATCCATCCACTCATCGCTTCATTTCTTCCTTCCGCCCCAGGTGTTGCGGTTCCGCCCGGCGGCCCCCTTTATGTACAGGTGCGCCACCAAGGACTCCAGACTACGGGGCTACTTCATACCTGAGAACACACAGGTAAAAGAGGAGCAAGAATGTCAATCGATCGAGGGATTTCAAGTTTTTAAAAAGTTTTGCTTGAAAATATGGAAAAACTTCGTTGCCCTGCGAATTTTTGACCGTCCTCTTCGGTCTTCGTCAAATATCCTGACCCACTCACGTAACTTCGTGGGTGGGGCAAAGATCCCTGGCCTGTGCGTACGCGTGTTGCGCTGCACGAGACTCTCCTTTAAATTCCGTCTTTAATTCCTGCTTATTAAAGTAAATTAGAGTAGATTCCTTCGGCCATGTAGGACCATCTTTTGCAGATTCCAGTTTAGGCCGCTCTTTCCTTTCAATGAACTGGCATCTCAGGCTTCTGGGGATGGTCTAGAGCTCTGTAGTCATACATCAGTTGCTTCTGTTTCATGTGTGGGTGTGTCTTGTCTTTCCTTAAAAGTGTTTTTAACACTTAAAAGTCTTTAACACTCGGCTCACGGTTCTCCCACGCATGTCCAGATCTTGGTGAACCTGTGGTCCGTCCACATGGACCCGAAGCACTGGCAGAATCCGGAACAGTTCAATCCGGAACGGTTCCTGAATCCGGAGGGGACGACGAAACTTCCGGAGGCCTTCAAGGCGTTCGGACTCGGTAAGACAGCAAAGGCCGAATATAACCACGCGCCTTGCATTGGAAGAGTGACTGTAATTTTTGAAGATAGAAATGACAAAATGTGATGTTTAGATTTTCTGCAATGGATACGATTCTATAGATTTACTGAATATGCATTTAAGCGTGGGCAGCATTAAAAGAAAGTTTATTGAAAGTTCCTGTCCGTAGGCAAATTAATTGCAAGTACGTGTAACATGAAAATAAAGGATGGACAATGGATAACAATATAGTATGTAACTACTCTAACTACTAAACACTAAATTCTAACTTATTGGGTTCGACTTCTTTTTCCGAGACAGTGGAAGACGAATGATCCCACTTTCTATAGTGTGTGTGTATTTTTTAAGTAAACATTTCAAGTTTTTTTTTTCAACCCTAGGTCGACGGCTGTGCTTTGGGGAGCAGATGGCCCGAATGGAGATTTTCCTGTTCTTCGCCATCCTCATGCGGCACTTCACCTTCAGGCTGCCAGAGGGCGCCCCTGTACCGAACACTATGGGTGTCTTTGCTCTGACGCTGTCGCCGCCTCCACACGAGCTCTGCATTATCAAGAGAAACTGAGAGAGCGAAACTTGAATGTGGTTGAGTCTGTTTTGAATTCGTGATGTTTCTTCTCAAATGTACTTTAACCCACTATATTCCAACAGCTTAGCTTTCGGAATGAATTAGTTTAGCTTGAGGAATGAATGATCACTCTAATTATGACGCTGAATATTCCTTCATAGGTCCCAAGCAAATGTTGTGTGAGGTGATACCGTAACGTTTTCGTGCTAGCCACCTGGTATCTTCCGTCGATCCTTTCGCAAATGGCTAGTGAGATATACAACTGTATATACTATAATCTTGTTTAAGTAGTATATTATCTCTTATTACTAGTATTTTATTTATACAAATCTATCACGATCGATATTATACTATATGGCAAAGTATAACTACATCATATCACAATTATGATTACAACGGGACCTTTGACCCATTACTGACGTCACGTTTCCGTATAAGGTCACGTACAAGAGTTAATTAATTACTAGTTCTAGTTTGATATTGGGACAGACTGAGAATTTGGTCGAAAACTAGGTAAGTCATCACATTTTTTGTGTGTACCGGATGAAAACAATATAAACCATATTGTATTCGCATTTTTCTGTATCATGGATAACCATGAAGAAATACTGATATTCTTGAATGTGTGCCATGATAAGAAATGTTACGGGCGAGGTATGGAAACACTAAGTAGTCAAGTCGGTCTATTATTGATTTTATTGTACAATATAAGCTTCCGCCATACATACATAATATAATATTTGTTAACTTATAGTCCAAACTATATTCTTTGAAACGTGTGTACAACATTATTCTTTTACGATATCATATCCTAGATATATCATATGTAACGTTATCTCTAGATTCATACTTGAATAAACGAGAGTTTCAAAGATACAAGTGTCGTAGCGAAAAAAAAAAAGATTTTTGATGTAATTTCATGATATCTTGAGTGTGAATCATGGTCCATAGTGTTTTGTGACATACCAGGTTTGGAGTAAGTAGTGTTATTTGCTGAGTAACTTTCTGAACATAAAAAAAAAGAATGATTGACTCTGTCGTCTAACGTTACTGTCAAAATAGAAGACTTAAAAAATGGTACATGTATATGCAATAATTATGTCAAAACTGCTACCAATCCATTATCATGCCACAGGTGTTGCACTGACCTAAAAGCTAGACATCACAGACATGTCGTCATCTTTTTGTTTACACAACACCCCGTTGCCTAGCAACGGGCTGTCAGGTGAGACGACTTTGCGGGGGGTCGGGAGGGAAGATGGCACCCCTCACGTGGGACACCACGGGTCACGGCAGTGGGCCAAAGAGCAATGAACCTGTCAAAGCTAAGCGAAGAGGTTATAAAAGGCCGCTCAACTTTGAGTTGTGGAGGACACCATTTAAAAGAATATGATTTTACCTACGAATTCGTCCAAAAAAAAAAAAGAAAAAAGAAATCGCACATCATCGGAATATTGAGAGATGCTCCTGTCCGAGGGGATACCGGGGGTCTAGATGATAAATTAAACTTGAACAAAACGACACCAATAATAATAATACAATACGCCAAAAAGCAGTTACTCGCAAGCAACTGGGTATGATATTGGAAACGGTCATACACCAATATAACGTTAATATAAAATAAAATAAAAGGCATCACATTATAATTGAGTCGTAAAATTGAAATAAAATCAGAACTGCAGTGACATATTTTCTATTATTTGCAAAGTTCTTGCAGTTCAAACGTTTAAGCTATAACTATTAGTAAGATGACTCAGCAGAGATACGATATACGGTCAACTTATTTCTTTCAGACGCCTAGTTCCTTGCAGACTGGTCAATTTCTATTTCAGCCAATGAGGTATTTCGTAACTTGTCTGTGTGAAACGCCAACGACCTGTGGAGCAGTTTTAAGGGGGGTCAAAAAGAGACCGTCTTCTTTTTCAAAGAAGTCGTATCCGTTACCTTACGATTGGGGCAGTCAATTGTTACGGCTGTTCACAGATGTTTCAAGAAAGAAAAGTTTGAAGTCACAACTATAATTGTATGGCATTGCGAGCTGCTACAGCTAACGTAACTCTTCATATCAGCTGGTCATTTCAACAATATGATGATTACGAATAAATGTTGCAAAAGTAAGGTTGGAAATTCTATCTTATTTCAACAACATCATTTATACAAATGCCCTAGCCATACTCGGACAAGTGGCTAGGTTCTGCTCTGAGAATTTTCTGGTATTTCTTACTACTTGTTGTTACGTTATATAGTCAATGATGCTTGACATTAATTAGCTGATGCCCGAATTTCTGAGACCTAGCTTGTTTTATCTTCCTATTAAAACTGTGACAAATGCCATTGCACGAGCCCTCTCTTTTCTCTCTCTGCCTACTGACCTCCTGAGCTCAGCTTACAACCTCCCTTTGTTATCCAATCAACCACTTCGTGTCACAGCAAACCAGCGCAGCAGGAAAGGTTTTGTCTCGTCCCTGAATCTGAGCCAAACTGAGGAAACCAAATCCCGTCGTCTGAAACGCTATCGCCCCGCGAAATAGCCATTAAAATCTTACTAATCGGGTCAAAAGTGCGCAAATGTCATTATTCGATGCCCTACAATGCCATTCCACGATTTATCTTGGAATAAATGACGCAAATAATGCAATAATACGCCTTTGTTTGAACGTTGTCTGCGGTATTGTGTTTGAGAATTCTTTTGTATACGACGCCATGGCAACGGACGAGTCCATACTTCCGGGGGTCCAGGTATTCCCGAATCAAATGTAAAACAAACCCAGATCTGCCGCTTTTGATTAAAAATATAAAATATGCAGTAATATACTAAGTATTCTACATTGTAATTCTTGAACAGTTGAATAGTTTCTGTCGTATTTTACTAAAATAAAAACATCTAATCTTTCCTCTCCCCGTTCGCTAGTGCCAGAGTCCAGAAGCCGGTCTCGCCATCTTGGGTTTCCCGTGTCAGGGGGAGTCGTGTAGTGGGCAGATCAGATTTGCCTGGACTGGGTCCAAACCATCAACTTTCCGGGCTGGGCAAGCCTTGGGGATTCATTCTACACCACCACCGATGATTTTGGATATTTAATGTTCGCCCACAGTAACAAGACGACAACGTTTCCATCTTGAAAAGACTTTTTTGGACGTTACCGAGATAGATCTGAGTTCGAACCAAGATGGAAGTGAACGATCCAAGGTAAGGTTTCTTACCGCCGGAGTTTAGCAGTTTTACCGGTCAGAAAATTATGTCAGTATGCCAACAATGTTTTATACGTGTGCTATTAGTAGTGGTACGTTATTTTACACAGAACGGAAGTTTTGACAAGTTTATTTGTATAAAAAAAGGCGGGGTATGACGATGGAATGTTTTGCTGTCAGTCGGAAAAGAGATAATACTAGTGACATCTGCTTTTAATTAAAACTTGTCAACCTACCCGCTTTACTTTAATTTATGGCAGTATTTGAAAAACTCCATGTCCTAAACGTGTTTTATTGTCTCAGTTTGTTTCTTGTTGGATTTTTCTTTATAAAGATGTCTCAGTTGAAGAGTTGGGAACTTAAAAATTTAATTAATTAACAAGTGACCTTCAGAAAGAGGCCGCCATGTTTTTGAAATGAACACGACCAGAATGGTAGAATTAGCATGCACCAATAAACCACGTCTATTATATATCAGAAGCTTGACATTATTGTTTTCAGTCAATTGTCAAGACTCTCTGTCAGATTAAGAGTACTAAAATGCTAAAACACATTTCATTGATATTAGAACTGAAATTAATAAACCACAATAAAATAACGAATATGTTCAGGAAGACATAATATCACATTGTTCAGAGTAATATTTGTGTTGATATTTTAATTTCCAGGTTTGATTTTCTCCAAGACTACACACTGAAGACCCTGAAGCTGAAACTTGATAAGTGGTCCAAATTCATCAGTGCAGAAGAGAACAGAATACTGCTGCAAGAATTCTTAGACAAGGCTGAGAACATAAACTTGGTGATCTCTGCTAACTCTGCCGGCGCTTTGGCCGCTGCGGACGAGTTTCCCACCTCCTTGAAGAACAAGGCAGTTTACTTTGTGAAGAAAGAAAAAGGAACAGTCACTAAGGACGCAATCAAGACATTTCTAAGTTATGGAGACTTGTCTTACGCACCACTGGACCAGCTCTCAGCACTAGTGGACGACGTGAGAAAATTTTCCTTGCTATAAGTGATAGAGCTCCACTCTCTGTGAACCCTTTACCTTTCCCACCCACATCACTTAGGCCTAGAAAAAAATGTTGTGTTTCCTGTATCAGTCCTGAAAATATTAGAAAATTAGGGTCGGTAGGTAGGGATTATCTTTTTTTGTTTAGACTATGTACAGTGATATGTATATAGGGGTCCAACTTGTGCAATACAGTTTAACAAAGTAAAAATTGCATGAGGACACTTTAATTCATTTTTAATGTCAATGTCAGAAATCCAGTTGTACAACATTTTATCACTCAGGTGTCAGATCAATGAGCTAGAAAAGGTTGATCAGCTCGAAAAATTATTTATGTCCCTTGCAGGGTCCACCCCCCAAAAAAAGTCTAGGGTTGACAGGTTTTTCTAGGGTCCGATGGGAAACAGGAAACACATTTTTTTCCTAGGCCTATTATACTTTCCCCACCCACATCACTTAGTGGCAGTTAGACTACAGACATTGTGTGTAGTGTTTGTATCCCACAGGTTGTTGTGTAAAGTTTAGGAAAATTAGCGGGCGTTGTGACAACAGGTTTTGTTTCCCGGGGCCGCCAAAGATGGCGGTTGGCTTTACCTGCGCATTGTCCCGTCACGGCCCGTCCGCGTTGCCGTGGACTGAGCAAACTTGTGCGCGAGCGAAGCATGACTGTTCGTGCTAATACCGGCGGGGAAAGTGATGTTTGCGAAATACCTGTAGCTCACTGACTCGTAGCTGTACAGTACAGGTGAACCAAGCTGCAGGTAGACTCAACTAATGGCTTTTCTGTTTTCTCAGTCCCCAGCTTTTATCAAAGACTAAGAGAGTTAGAAAAATGAAAGCAATCCAAGAGAAGGAAAAGAATTTGAAAATTGGAAATTGGAAAGAATAAAAATGTCAAATCAGTATCAGTTTATACAATGAGAAGTTTATTGCAAGTTCATGCCTGGAAGCTAATTGCAAATTACAAACATACAAGAACATTGAAATAACATTGAGTATAACTATAACTAAAAAAGGTAGTTGTCTAAAAATAATAGCTGTGTGGATAAAGTAAATGAACCTTTTTGCTGCTAAAATTGCATCTATGCTATACATTCTGTTCAACAGAACCAAGTAGACATAAGGTTAATGAAGTAATTGGTACAGGTCTTCCAGTTTGTCAATACCAAAAACTGATCACGAATAACAATAGGCAGAAAAGGCAGAGTGAATGGACTCAAGCCTGTCTGTTTTGACGACTCACCCAACGTGTTTTGGATAAACTTTTATGTGGGGCAAACAAACAAATTATCACCCAGTAGCAGCTATTACAAACAACCAGGCCAAGGCTTTACTATTACAGGTGTACTGGTATCATTCACAGTTAGTGCAGTTTATTACGTTATACTGTACTTTTTGGAAAGGAGAAATAAAACAGTAGTTTGTTTTCTGTGGCTTTACAAGTTTGCCCAGGTCTTACTGGTCGTAAGGGCTGTAATAGATATTGTAATCCTCCAAATATTTACTGTTTAGGTTAGATAATGCTTTAGTATGGCCAAATATTTGAGATGTCCTAATTTAAAGACACACTGCCAGCTTAAGACAATGTTTAAGTTGACCATCATGAAACAATGAGGTTGTGTAGTACCTCTTGTTTTGAAAATTCCATAGATGTTACATTTTTTATCCAAAACTTAGATCCTAACTGGCTAGTTCTGATCCAGACACTAAAAATTACTCTGTGTGCAAGTTTCAGTCTCCGTGGGTCCGATGATGCAACGTCCCTTCTGTAGGTTCGTGTGTGATATCTAGGGCAGCATATCTCTCCATCTCGCCCCAGCTTGTATGACATTGCACTATTGTGTGCCGCGCACGAGAGTCGGTCAGATTACCTCCCGGGTCTAACCTGAACTTTGTTCCCATTCACGCCGCGAAGGTAAAGAGCCATTGTCGCGCTGTCAGGGCGCCGGTTCTTTTCTCTGCTCGTGTGATTGATCGCAGAAGGGACCCAGAGTTTACGACTGTATTCAGTCCGCCGTTTTGTCTTACACTCAGGGCACTAAAATAGCCAGCGCACCGTGCGACCGCGTTACGGTCAAAAGAAAGCCCTTGAGAAAATTTGTGCTTGCTCTAAGGAGAAAACTTCACGCCCTTATTAGAGTCTTAAGCCTTCGTGCTTTCTTAAGGCATTACACGCCGACGTGAGCTTGTTGTATTTGCGCCTAAGTTGAGGCCCAGCACAAGCCTGCCTTTCAGACAAGGCAAAGTGGAACAGGAACGCAGAGTGAATGTGTTAGAGCCAGTAGAACTGTGACGCAGCGGCAGTAATGCTGTATTGTGTAGAAAGTAGGGCTTGTTTGCCTTTGGCTCATTTGGTCTACAGACGTGTTTACTCACGGTTGTACGAGCCTCAAAAGATCACCAAACAGGTGGTTGTCACACTGTGGAAATCAAAGTTAAAATATGTAATAATTGGTATAAAAAAGGAAAATTTCTCATGAAATTTCAACTGCATTGGTACATATCTGCTAGGGGATTTTTGTAATACTTGACTTGCCAAAGTGTAATCTTTCAAAATATAAACTTAGAGCTCAGTGATTGACAAGAAATCTGATTGCATCAAAACACTGCCGGTAAATACTGCCAGGTCCAGGTAACACGACCAGGGGTAGTTATGGGTGTTATGGAGAATCTAAGGAGTAAATATCAATCATACCTACCATGACCCATTGTCAACACGCCTGAAATAAAGTCACCTGAAAAGTTGGTAAATCTGACATAAAGTAGAAACCGAATGGACTAGATCTAGACTAAACTGGAAACTAGACTAAACTGGAAACTAGGAAAGCATGCATGCATTGCAAAATAATTGGGACCTGTACACTTAATGTGGACAATACAATGTATATAACTTTAGATGCAGTGTGGATATTTAGTACCTACCATGTGTAGATGTCCCATATCCTAACAGCTGGCTTTACTCACTTATACACATAACCACCTGTTCTGAAACCACCTGTTAAACAGATCTGCCACAGGGCAGTTTGCTAAAGCATTGTTCAGAAACAAGTTAGAAACAGAGCAGTTCTTTAAGTCTTCTTTTCTGTAAAATTCTAATGGACAAAATCATTGAAACTTCTTTGGTGATAACTTACTAGATCAGCTTTTACTTCATACTATACATAATGTAACCAAACATGGTTGTTGCATTTTATTATTAGATACTCTGGCACAGCATAATGTTTATCACATAAACTTTATTTCATTTGCTTTTTCACTAGCTTTTTCACTTCTATCTTGACAAAAATCAAATAAAGTGCAGTACTATATGCACTGTAGTGTAACAATTATTCAAATGTGTTGTCAACAATGTTGATAAGGTTGTGTACGTATGTACATTATCAATATTTGTCTCGTGGAGGAGTGGCCTGTAAAACACAAACATAACAACGCTACTGTAAATAAACATAGTTCTTTTAAAAGTATCTAAATCCTTTTTTCTGCATATCTGCACTCTTGCAGGTCACGCTGAAAATTATACATTGTATGCCTGCACCTATTTACATGCTCCCTTACTTCCCGACCATTCCCTACCACGAAAAAACAATTTTGCTAGTAAAATCAAAGAACCCACATATTCATCTTCCATTGCCTAAAAAGAAGAAGTCAAACCCAGTAAAACTTTAGAATATAGTTTAATGTTACGGACGTAGACATAGTCTCACATACCACAGTGACTGTATTTTCTTTCTTATTGTGTTTGTAACTGCAATTAGCCCTTGGGCATGCATTTGCAATAAACTTTCTTGTTCAATCACAGATTGTTGTCCCCCTGCTGTCTAACTTCCGTAACCACGATGCGTGGCCGACCGTGGTGTCGCAGGACGTTCTGCGCCACGTGCACAACCTGAAGAACAGCGTCTACGTCGTCGCCGGCCAGGTCAAGGGAAAAACACTCCTGCCTCTCCCTGTGGGAACTGAGAGAGTGGAACAGGCCATCGATGTGGACGAAAAGTAGGTCAAAATGTCTTTACAAATATTATCAAACCATTTATTGATTACGTCGGTGAAGATTATAATTAGACATCCAGGTAAAATGATACACCAAAAAGCAGTCACTGAAGCAACTGGATATGATTTTGGAAACAGTCAGATGTTTCAGGTAGCATCCTCTACCTTTCGTCAGTTACTCGACTAACTCTGCTTTTTGGTGTAGCATTTACTGGTTATATTGCCTTCAGTTTTAACTTACATGCAAATGGCACTTCTTCTATGACTCAGTTGTTGGTTCCTGGATTTTTCAGAAGGTGCAATTTTTTATTTTGGCAAATAACATTAAAACTTATGAGGGATCTGGTATATGCATTTTCATGATCAGATTCTTCAATAATTTGCACTTGAAAATGTCAGAAAAACAAGGAAATAAATTGATGTGGCCCAAAAAACGAAAAGTGGGAGATTTCCTTCAAATCATTTTGTCTGAAATAAAATTGCCAGATTGAGCTATGGCATATAATCATTATTTTGTTCGCAGTTCAATCAGGTAATATGATTGAAACTTCCGGAACTATTCATGTTTCAAACCTTATGTTGACAAAACGTCTTAAAATCCTCTATTAGTGTATATTGCAATAATATAAGACTTAGATAGAAATCTCTCGGAAATATCAGACAACGGACTTATCAATAATTCAAACCTTTTTCCTTTGCATGTATTATATATAATAATGGGGAGGCCTTTAGTTGTTGAATAATTGATAATGCAGTTGCTATCGTGCTACAGTAACGTATCATCATATATTCCCTCGTTGTGATTGTTGTATGATTTGATTGCTCTTCAGAAAGTTGATTCGTTAGTCGAGTGACTTTGATTGTAACGCATGAGAGATTTCAAAACAAACACTCCAGGATTAAGAGGGCTTGTATATCCTCCACTGGACAGGCAAGGACTCCTAGGTTTACTGAACAGAACAGATCCATGGCAGTTGCCCTGTATATTGGGACACCCAAAATTGGTACTTGTATCTGTATCAGTATAGCCGGTATAACCGCCCTTCGGCGTTACACACCAACTTCGCAGACACGCGGCAAGGCGGCAAATAGCTATTATATCACACTGAAGGACTTGTTACACTCAATCTTTGCACATTTGATTGCAGGAGTTGTTTAAAGCTTTCTAGTGATGATGCCCCAACTGTGCTTGGTGGCAACAAGTTCCACTCTAAGATAGTTCTGGGGAAACATGAGTTTTTGAACACCTCAATTCTTGGTTGATAACTCTGATATTTGAAGGCACGACTGTTTCTTGTTCTTCTCTGGGCTGGTATCAGATACTTACGTAGTGGTTGGTACTTGTGTTGTAAGTGATCTGTTTGCTTTTGGTCATAGTGATCCTGATAAGACTGATAGAAATGGAGATGATTGTTGTTACAATTCTCTTCCCAAGTTAAGTGCCCTTTCAGATGACTTGTATTATCTAGATCTCTTAATTCAAAAATTTAAGTGAAACGTACAGTCAGCTTTGAGGAGAAACTTTAAGGAAAAGTCAATGTTGGTAATTTTTTTACTAGTAGCTGATAGACAAATTCATGTTACAGATTTTAAGGTAGAACAACTTCTAAAAAGGGATTAATTCCAGCCAATCAAACCGCTACTGCAACAGTACAAACTTATTCTTTATTATACTAAGTTCAAAATGGCAGACACTACAGAAACTGAAAAATTTGTACTTTGAGCCCCCAGTCCATTTCTAAAGCTTAGGAAGTAAAGAAAGTAGAGAAGTGCTCATTGATTAAGTACAGTACAATATAGCTGTAACTGATCCTCGACCTTCTAGACTTGGTGTAAATGGCCTTGAGTACACTAAGCGCTGCACGTGGGTGTTCGCGTGATCAGGCAAAGTCCAGCTGCTAAAAATAGCACCACCACCCCTACCATTGGTGGAGACGGCACACAATGCCGGCATGTTAGTATTGTAACTCTGGAACATCTGCTCCTGTTCAAACTAACCTACTTGTTAACACAGGCTCTGTAAAGCAACTGAGAGCGAAGCATTTTCCTTGCTACAAAAGTTTCCTTTTCGTTAAGTCTAAAACACCTGTCTGAGTTCCCATTGGTGTAAGTGGTTGTCAACTGTCGCTGCGCCGTACTTAACCTTTTTCGTACAAAGCGCTGGTATTTTTAGGGTGGGATCAGAGCTATTGGTTTAAAGATAAGACTACAAAAGGAGCACTTAGGTTACAGCAGCACTACCCCCCATACAGCTGGAGCTGATGTTCTCAAGTACAAGAAAAACTTTGTACTTGGAGCTCCAGTGTTGTTCTTTTCAAGAGAAAACCTTCTGGCATTTTTATGAGAGGCTATGGATAATTATATGTTAAGCACTGCAGAATTGAAAAATTGATTACTCTGTTATTCTTTCTCCGATTTATGTATTTGCCTACAGAACATGCTGTCAAAAACTATTTCATGCAGTCAAATACATGACATTGTATTTCTCTTAGATGCAATATTTTCAATTAATATTTCCTGCCTCAAAATAAATAGGAATTGTCAATAAAGCTGCTTTTTTATCTAACACACTGTTTGACTTTGAAAAGTTTCTATTTTTCATTGTTCTTGCTTGTAAGTTGTAAGTGTATGCCCTGTCCTGGCTAAAAATTTTAGACATTATTGCTTGAAAGTTTATGGGATTACGGATTAGTACAGGGAGAAAACTTGCCCCAGGCCATTCATTTAAAGGTGTTGAAAAATCAATTTCAAACTTTTTTTTAATGAAACACACTGTGCCATCAGTTAAGAGCAATAACCACAGGGCCTGGAGTTAGACGTACAAATGTACAAGGCTTAGATGTTATTTACTGGATCAAACCAGCTGCCACAGCATACCTGCAAAGCTCAGATGTGTTACACAGAAGGGTGGTTATCCAGGTCAGCCAATTAAGAAGAGACTTCACCCATTAATCCTTGTCTTATATGTTGCTTAGATACAAATCCTCACTGCTAAAGAAAGTAAGATTGTATGTACTTTGCCAGCCTGTATATTGAGGTAAATAAAAGTAGTGTGCCAGAATAGTTTTTACTGAGCTATATACCCATTTTACTGTGCCGTGCAACTACCCGTATCCAGGTCCCATATACACTTAACCTATTCGGTCAACACGATTGGTTTGTATAAAATTCAATTGTATCAACACGTTTCTTCATTGTGTGAAAGCAGGCCTGAGCTGTGAGGAAAGGGAGTGCAGATAATTTAAGTAGTGACAGTACCAGCCATTAGTTTTACTGAGCTATACATCTATTTTACTGTGCCGTGCAACCACCCGTATCCAGGTCCCCTACACTTAACCTGGTCAGTCAACATGATTGGTTTGTGTAACATTCAATTGTATCAACATCCTCAGCCAGCAGCCCGGCGTGTCTGTGTTTGCACGACATTGTTGGAGTGTTTGCTGTTTGGCAGGGTAGCACGTTTGTTCTACCAGGCGCCGCACGTTCGGCGGTTATAATTGGGTCTGTGCACTGTGTGGGGCTGAACTAGCGCAGAGGGATTAATGCAAGATACATGTAAATGTTTAAGGGGATTAGGGTGGCTGGCTGCAAGCATGTCATACTTCTCAGGGTGGCCTTAATGAGTTTAGGTTTCATTCACATCAGTCATGAGTCAGAGACTAAGTGATAAAGGGAAAAACTTTCTTGCCTTTAATTACATTGTACATGTACTAGCAACAGGTTTTCATTATAAAGTACTATGGACTGTCTAGTTTTACATAAAGAGCTTTTACCACCCCAAAATCATGATAACACAATTTGCCTGATGTTTACAAAATATATACAAAGTTTTTTTTAAACTCCTGCAGTTTTACATGTACATGAAAGAAACTAAATCAGATTAAGCTCCAAAACAAACCATCAGATGACCTCAAAATAATCTTAATATGTTGATTCAGTCAAGGCCTACCAAGATATTATCAAATTTAATGACAATATGTGCTTTTTTGTCAATGTGTTATCCTAATAAACTTAACCAAACAAAAAACTCAACTTCAGCACCAAAAAAAAATTGCCATAACTTACAATGAAAAAATATTGTCTTGTCCACAGAGGCGAGCCATTTGACCGTGCCCTGCTGCACTCGGTTGAGTCGGTGATCATCGACTGTAGCCATCAGATCCATGATGTCCTGCAACAAAATGATTTCTTGTATCAACATCAAAATAACTGTCATAAAAATTGTATTGTCCACAGAGGGGAGCCGTTTGACCGTGCCCTGCTGCACTCGGTTGAGTCGGTCATCATTGACTGGAGCCATCAGATCCGTGACGTCCTGCGGCGAGACTCCGCCCAGCCCCTGCTCGCCGGACAGAACCCCCTGCCCTACGTCGAGCTGGACTTCTGGAAGGCTAAGGCTGCCAACCTGCAGTGCATCTATGAACAGGTAGGGGGCACTTTTATTGCTTTTTGGTTTGGTGGCCAATATTTCCCCTGCTCGCTGGACAGAACCCACTGCCCTACGTCGAGCTGGACTTCTGGAAGGCCAAGGCTGCCAACCTGCAGTGCATCTATGAACAGGTAGGGAGCGCTTTTAGCGGATCAAGGCAATTCTGAAGAGCACGTCAGCAGAACGTACTGCGCCTTCGTAAAACCCCCATTTTTCATGTTTTTTTAAATAATTTTTTTATCAACGTTGCATCAGAAGTTTGCCTGTTGCAGACAATTTTTTTCCGACATAACATTTGGAAACTACAGATGGGATGTTAAGCTTATATGCGCGAATACGACCCTATGAGACGTTCTACCAAACTGCTATGCACAATACGTGTTTTGCACAGGTGCAGTATGTTCTGACAACATGCTATTCTGGAGAAATAATAATAATTTTTGCTTTGTTGTTTGGTGGCCAGCATCAACCTGTTGATGATTCTGTAGGGTTGAACAAAGACAGTGATGTAAACCTCAGTCTGAATCAATGAAGACTGCTTTTGATAAATAAAGGTTTGTGTTATTAGAGTACTCATGCTTGTATAAAGTAAAAGTCTTAGAATAATCAACCATCTGAGCATTACAGTTGCTGTAAACCTTCTGTGGCTCAGAGTTCTGAGATTAACACTGTTTTGTCCTTGTAGCTACGAGAACCCAAAGTTCGGAAGATGGCAGAACTCCTTGAGAGAGCCAACAGCAGCTACTTCCCCTCCTTCAAGGCCATCTTTAAGGATGTTGTGGCAGGTACGTTCTTCAGGTGTTTTCTTGCTGATGATTATCTTCAGCAGATTAGTATATTGTTAGAAAATAAGGTTTTTATTACACACCTGTTTGTAATTGACAAACATTTCTGCAACTTGTCAGTAGACATGTCAACAAACAGTAATGTAATGCTTGGGACAATAGGTAGATAACCAACACAAGCACCAGAAATACGAGCGATTGCTGTTTTGTTTACATCATTTACAGTCATGCAAATTATTTGAAGACATGGAAATTATTGGTAGGCAAATCAACCAACAATCACCCGCTTTTTGCCTTCCACTAGTTGGCTGTAATGTCATGATGATCAATAGTATTGGCTAGGATGTTTCTATTATTATAGGCTAGTATATGTCGGTAGTTACTGGTAGATGTTTGACTGTTACTGAAATTCCGTCCGTTTCCCCAGCCCTGACAGAGGCTCAAGACATCACCCTGCACCTGAAGCCCCTGAGGCGGCACTTCGAGGACCTGGAGGAGCTGGAGTTCTGTGACGCCTCGCCGCTGCTGAAGCCCCTCTGGCACACGGTCTGTCTGGTCTGGAGCCACTCCCAGTACTACTGCAACCCCGCACGCATCATAGTACTGCTACAGGAGGTCAACAACCTCATCATTGAACTGGTAAGTCCTGGTTTTTAACCCTTACACTACTGAGGCCCCTCTGGCACACGGTCTGTCTGGTGTGGAGCCACTCCCAGTACTACTGCAACCCCGCACGCATCATAGTGCTGCTACAGGAGGTCAACAACCTCATCATTGAACTGGTAAGACCTGGTTTTTAACCCTTTCCCTACTGAAGACCTGGTTTTTAACCCATAGCCTACTGAAGGCACACGGTGTGTCTGGTCTGGAGCCACTCCCAGTACTACTGCAACCCCGCACGCATCATAGTACTGCTACAGGAGGTCAACAACCTCATCATTGAACTGGTAAGACCTGGTTTTTAACCTTTATCCTGCTGAAGACCTGGTTTTTAACCCTTGTACTGCTGAAGGCACACGGTCTGTCTGGTGTGGAGCCACTCCCAGTATTACTGCAACCCTGCACGCATCATAGTACTGCTACAGGAGGTCAACAACCTCATCATTGAACTGGTAAGACCTGGTTTTTAACCCTTTCCCTACTGAAGACCTGGTTTTTAACCCATAGCCTACTGAAGGCACACGGTGTGTCTGGTCTGGAGCCACTCCCAGTACTACTGCAACCCTGCACGCATCATAGTGCTGCTACAGGAGGTCAACAACCTCATCATTGAACTGGTAAGACCTGGTTTTTCAGCATTATACTATGAACCGGTGCAATGGCCAAGTGGGTAGAGTTGGCCAAGTGCCTTGCATTCAGGAGGTTGTGAGTTTGATCTCTTGCCAAGTCATACCAAAGACTTTAAAAATGGTCCATACCGCTTCCTCTGCTTAGCACTCAGCATTTGAGAAGTATGGGAGTTAAAAACACACCACTACCAGTGGACTAGCCCCCTGCTGTAGTAATTGCACTGCTGTGTGGCCCAGGGCTCTTGCAAACAGAGATGGGTGCTGTCCTATGCGTCACTTGATGCAGGAAGCTCTCTGTAACTTTAACTTTAATCATACTACCAAATTGAATACAGATGATCTACCATAGTAACCAATAAACTTGTTTTCCCATTTCCAGGCGAGGACCTTCCTCCAGCCAGAGGAGATCTTTAAGGGTGAGATTGAGGAGTCACTGGACAAGGTGCGTAAGGCAGCAGATGTCATCGAGCTGTGGAGAGACATGTACGAGGAACACAAGCAGTCACTCAACAGGTAAGGAATGATACAAATACCCACTGTCACACTCTCTCAGCACAAGTCATGGTTTCTGTGCAAGCCTTGTTGGAGATGCCAGGTTGCCTGGCATGCAGTTATCATTTTTCTTATCAGCCCTTTTGTATGATTATGCCTGATTTAACAATTGCAAGCCATTGATACAGTTTGCAAATTATTTTTATCATAATAAGAGGGAATGAATTGTATCATGTGCAATCCAGTTTGTTTGCGAGCAAATTGTTTTTAGACTTTAATTTTGAATTGAATGTTCTTGAGTGGTCCCACTGCAATGTTCAACTAATACACATTGTATTTGGATCTGAATCTGTTGCATGATCCTAACTTGCCATGTTCAATTTTGATTTTGTACAGTTACTTTAAGGAAGGGAAGGAGGCTGTAGAGTGGGAGTTTAACCGCAGTATGGTGTTCACACGGCTGGACAGCTTTGCTGAGAGACTCAAAGTTGTGCTGGTAGGTTGGACTGTCTTTTTACTTTTGCAACTTTTGCAAACCCAGCTTTAAAGTTAAATATGTCTAAAGTTATAAAAGGCCAATTAATTTCATTTTTAAAAGCTCATAAACCACATCCAAAACAGAGGAAACTAACTTGTTTACCATCACATGCACTAGCCTAAAAAATGCTGCTGTGTTTATTCTTACTGAAACACATTCATATACTAGTAAAAAAAAATAAAATATATTATATGTAGCGACAAGCCCCTCCAGCTCTAACTTGCCACATAATGTAACACACACCACAGAGTGTGTGCTACAGCACCTCTGGTCCAGGTCATTGACCTTATGTGTTTGCAGAAGATTTAGAAAAACAAGAAACAAAGAGAAAAAAAATGTTTTCCTTCTGTGAAGACAAACATAGTAGCAGGAAAGTTCATCTGAGTTTGTGAAATACATTAATGAGAATCAAACTGTTCTACAACTCAAGAAAATTGACCCTCAAGAATTTTCGACCGAATCACTCGGTCTTCATCAGCTTTCTAACCCGAGTACTGTAGACACGCTGTGACATAATCTGGCCTATGTTTCCCCGCCCAGGACCTGTTTGAGACAGCGACAGAGTTTAACAAGCTGGAGAAGGTGGAGTTTGCCGGTGTGAAGGGCAAGTCTCTCAGTCAGCAGGTCGTCTCCATCTTTGATGAGTTCCAGGACTGCTTCAAGGTGTTTGTGGACAGCAACTACGACAGTCTGGACCCCAAGAATGATGTGAGTTGTCAGGAATAGTGTTAAGAGTTCGTAAAAGTCTATTCCACACTATAGACATACATGTACATTATGATCATTCATGGTAGCCACAGTAAAGTTTCCACAAATAAAGTTTCCACAGTTTGACTCAAGAAAGTCAGTGTGGTAATGTGGCGTAACAACTGATCGTTCGGCTCAGAACCAAGAAGTCCTGAGTTCGAATCCTGCCATGCTGCCAATCTTGTGCCCTTGGGAAAGGCACTTAACACGACTTTCCTCACTTTACTCGGGTGAAAATAAATATGTCGTCCATTCATGCATTTGTCTGCATTGGAAGCGGCATACATGTAAAACAAGTTGAAAAAAACTGGAGCCATGTCTTGTTATACATGTAAATGTTGGAATAGAAAAAAACTCAATGTCTTTACCACAATCTCTACTATGTTCTGTTTCCCAGGAGTTCATGGCAGACTACAAGCGGTTCACAGACAGGATCTACGACCTGGACCGCCGGCTCGGCGCTATCATCTGTCAGGCTTTCGACGACTGCTCTGGCATCGAGGCCATCTTCAAGGTGGGTCTCAGAATTCATGAGTGTCTCTTAGAAAATTTGTAGTATTTCAGCATTATGCTAAATGCTGCCTTTCCTAATACTTATGTAACAGTGCTGCACACAAGATAACTGATACTCAATTGGTTTTGAAAAATGTTGTATTAATTTTATGTTCTGAGACAATTAGACAATAGATACCTTTTTTAAAAAATTATTTCAACTTTTCACCTCAAATTAAAATAAGGCCCATACAAACCACTTAGAAGCTTTTGGTTACATTAAAGAACTGTAGAGACAGATGTCTGTTCACTTGAAAAGTTTAAGGTTGTACCCATTCGGGAAGCATTCACAAGGAAGCTTGTTTCAAAGTGATGTAGTTCTAGGAAAGAAGCTTTCAGCGTGGAACTTTCTCCTGAGAGATAGAGTATGGACCTAGAAAGAAATTTTATAGGAGTGTTCAGCCATAGCTTTTGTCAGTGACACTGGAGGTTTATAAGTACGAACTATTATTACCTGGATGTCTAACCTTCAACGGCGTATTAAGGCTATGTATAGACAATAAATCCCTTAAAATCCTGCCCATATTCCAGCTGCTGGACATCTTCGGCTCCCTCCTGGAGCGACCAATCATCACGGAGGACACCAACAGCCGCTATCCCACAATCCTCAGCATGTACGACCGTGACCTCGACACAGCGAAACAGATGTACGATCGGTACATGGCCGAGGAGAAGGCTAACGGAGGGATCCCTCCAGTACACAAGAACATGCCACCTATCGCAGGTAATATCTCTGTCCTTGGTGCTGAATCTGTGGTAGATACTATACCAGGTAGTTTTGTTTCCAATTTGTCATCACATGTAAACAATCAGAGGAAACGCAGCTTCCTGACTTTTCTTAGGATTAAACAGAAATCGCATCTCTGCCATTGCATTTGTGCCTCGTATTACTGTGTTCCGTGACATATCTTATAAGTATACCCTTGGCACGGCTAGATAATTCATTTATTTTGACATAAATTATTATCTCATAATCATTAACTAGTTTTTCTTGTAATGGTTATTGTAAAATTCTTTTCCCTTCAGGTGCCCTGAAATGGACCCAGGAGCTGAGAGACCGAATCACCCAGCCCATGTCTAACCTGAAGAACCTGAACCACCCCTGTATGGACGGGGAGAAGGCTCGCCTCATGCTCACCAAGTACGATGAGATGATGGAGCTACTCAAAAAGTAGGTTTGGAACTCTTTTTTTTTTCATTCCAAATTGCAAGAAAGATTGTTTATCAGGTGGTTGTAGGCACGTTAAATAGCATGTAATTATTTTAAGTTTTGTTGATTAAGCGTATCATTGTATGTCCTTTTGATCATTTTACGTGTTCAAATTGGGGTCACTGGCAGTCATTGGATCAGGATGCATGTTCCATTTTGGGTCATTGGAACAGAACTCATGTTCCATCTGGGGTCACCTGTGGTCATTGGAACTGAAAACATGTTCCATCTGGGGTCACCAGTGGTCATTGGAACAGAACACATGTTCCATCTGGGGTCACCAGTGGTCATTGGAACAGAACACATGTTCCATCTGGGGTCACCAGTGGTCATTGGAACAGAACACATGTTCCATCTGGGGTCACCAGTGGTCATTGGAACAGAACACATGTTCCATCTGGGGTCACCAGTGGTCATTGGAACAGAACACATGTTCCATCTGGGGTCACCAGTGGTCATTGGAACAGAACTCATGTTCCATTTGAAAAGTGGGAAGTGTATCAGATATCAATGACCTGGGTTATAGGGGAAATGTAGCCTTTTGATTGGTAGACGTTGTCTAGCTATGTAGTAAATGGTATATTGATAAAAACACGTGGCAAATGGGCCATGCTGTATACACTGAATTGCGCCAAATTTTACAATCCACATACTCAGTAAACTAACACTGTAGGATATTATAGTACAGGAAGTATATACAAGTTGGCTATATGTTAATGTTAGTTTGAGCCTGGCCAGTTTTCTGAACGTGCTTATTTCTATTATGAAAAGTGTTAAACTGTTCTCCAACTCATAAATTGGACTCACCGGAATTTTCGTGCTGATTTCTGTTGTGCTGCAGCTATGAGAAGGCGTGTTACCAGAAGTGGGCAGACGGCGTGGCGGAGGCATGCCAGTTCAACCTGGAACAACCACTCATCACTCGTAATGGGGAGACGAAACTCATCAGCGTTAACTTCAGCCCTCAGGTAAGGCAGTGGTCACAATTACTTCAACTTTACCAGTGCTAGGGTTGGCATTTGGGCTGTGTACCGGTACTGTGCCCGGACCTGTACATGTACCTGTACCTAGAATACAGCTCTAGTGGTCATTTTTATCTTCTGCATATCCCTAAGTTTTCAGTCAGACAAAGTTTGTAGGTGATGGTCAAGCTCACTACACTACAGTGACTGTCTTACTCTGTCTGCCTGAAAACAAGGGATGCAGAGACTGTCCAGCACAGGGTTGAACAATTTGTAATTTTGCCAGATTCAATTTGTTGGTTTATTTGTAAGTATTGTCCAACATAATCTTAAAGTTGCAAATCATTTTGTAGATTTTTTGCTTACAAGCAGGTCAGACTAAGGTCAAAGAAGGAAGAGGCTTAAAAAAGAATGGTCGTCGTAGTAGTCTGTTTTTTTTAATGTTTTCTGCTTGGGTTTTTCAAATATCCATCAACAAGTGCATCACATAGGACTATATTGTAGCTTCAATGACTCCCAAGTAATAATTGCAGTGAATCTGTATGTTTTGTTTGTACCTATATATTTTTATGTGCTATGTAATCTCAGCACAATTCAGCGATCCATAATTTTTTATGTACTGCTGCTATGCTGACCACTGTTTTTGAATAAAGAATAAAAAATATTGCCTGCTCCTGTTCCCCCAGCTTGTAGCTGTCCTGCGGGAGGTTAAGTACTTAGAGAATCTCCAGCGGTCGGACATACCGGACACCGCAGCCGAGATCTACGCCAAGAATGAGACCTTCCGCAAATACCGCGCCAACCTGGACCTCACCGTGGCCTGGTACAACAAGGTCAGACTCTCAGATTAACATTTTCCTGCTGTCCAACTTAATGTTTTACACCCCAAAACAGTACTCAAAAGATGATCATACAGTCCTGATTCAGTAACTGATTGAAAAGTAATAGTAGACAATCATACGCCATTGTTACTAAATGCTTGTGAACAACATTGTTGTTGTTTTTAAGGTTGATCAACAATGGTTTCAACAGATAAGCTAAATTTTGTACCTAATCAACAAAATGTGTCAGAAACCTAAAATTTAGGATTTGCACATGTAATAAAAATAGAATGTTTTCATACGCAACAATTTGAAGTTTTATACAGCATTAACTGATGAAATATCAACATCTGTTAACAGTTAAACCATTTCCTTTACTTATTGACTGATTGATTGATTGACATGTTGATTGATTGATTGACAGGTGCGTGAGAATGTTCTGGAGGTAGAGTTCCCTCTGATCGAAGACCAGCTGGCTGAGATCGACAACCAGCTCTCCCGCGCCGAGGTCAGCCTCTCATGGAAGGACGACGGTATGAGCTATTTTAATTTTTCATCACTCACTCACTCAGACACTGTTCAGTTTATTGTCATTTGTTCCCCATCTTCCAAGGGTTATACACCTTTGCACCATAATGCTGAGGGCTGATGCCAGCCTGCCATTTATTTATTTATCTATAATAATGATTCTCCACATATGAGTTAGTGAACGGCATCGTGGAACAGGTGTTCATGTTAGAAAACCTTTTCAAAGCCACCACACCAACAGAGTCATACATAAAATTCTAACTGAAAAAAGTATCTATTTGCCTCTATCTTGTGGCTTCATGTAAGTTAAGGTGGTGGAAGTCATCCCTTAATTTGTCATTCCATCTCTTCCTTGGACGACCTGCAAGTGTTTTGGCTTTCAACACCATTGTAAGGATCTTTCTAGGCCACTTCTAATTGTCCATTCTTTGTCGGCTAGATCTCACTATGTCTGATGTGAAGCCAAAATCAACCTATGTACCAGGATGGTTGTACATTGTTTCCTAGAAGAAGAATGCTGTAATAATAATATTTACTAATTAAGAGATCTGTCTGTATTTGGACGTCTAACATTCACCAACCATCTCCTCAGGTGTGTGGGAGTACATCCAGGAGACGAGAGACATGGTCCACGACCTGGAGATGCGCGTCTTCAAGGCCAAGACCAACCTGGAGAACGTCCAGAAGATCATGGAGCAGTGGTGCACGGCTCCGCTGTACGAGCGTAAGGACGGGAAGGAGGTGAGCCTGCTGAACCTGGACGATCGCGAGGAGAGGCTCGCCAAGCGGTACGCCGAGACCAAGGAGTCTGGGAACAAGATTCACGACCTGGTCAAGGTGAGTTTTCTTTATTCCCAATAAGTTAGAATTTAGTGTTTAGAGTAGTTAGAGTAGTTAGGCTTAGAGTAGTCACATACTATATTGTTGTTCATCCTTTAGTGTACTTGCAATTAGCCCACCGGCAAGAACTTTCATTCATTTATTTGTTTATTTATTCATTTGTTTGTTTATTTTTTGTTGTTGTACAACCCACACGCACTGCTTTGACATCTGTTGTTCTCTGTCTCTTGAGCATTAGACATGCTTGCATGCTGATGCTTCAAGGCTTTTAACCACCCTTGTTGATAGGGTACTAAACAGGTGATTTTATATAACCTGAAAACCAACATACTATTATTCAAATAATATTCAAATAATACATGCTATGCAAAGATGAAGAATATAACACTACATATGGATGAATGCTGTCCTTAATTTGAAAGGTTATTAGGTTTTTGAATGAAAGTTCATTTTTTGATCATAGTAAATCTTTGAGAAAATTAAACAATGCTACTGCTTTCAACACAGCATATTGAAAAGGAAAAGAATCAACCTTTTTTGTAGTTAAGTGTTGCGTTTGTTTCCCATGCAGGAAAATCTTGGGTTCTTCAAGGCAGAGGAAGACACAGACATCTGGCGAGCGTATGTGGACTATGTGGACGACATGGTGGTGGACGGATTCTTCAACGCCATCCACTGTTCTCTCAACTTCCTGCTGGACATCATGGGAGCCAAGGGACAGGTAAGGAACAGTATTTCTCTATTTTAATTAATAGAGGAAGTTTTGTTTGAGCTGTGATGTCCCACATATATCTCAGTATAAGATACTGATGTAATAGGGGGACCATTCTTTAGCCATCCACTGTTCTCTCAACTTCCTACTGGACATCATGGGCGCCAAGGGACAGGTAAGGAACAGGCATTCACGAGCTGTTGGAATGGATAGAGGAATTTTGTTTGAGCTGTGATGTCCCACATACATCTCAGTATAAGACAAGATAAGGGGGGCCATTGTTTAGCCTTTTGTAAACCATTAAAGTCGTGGATTTTTCTGATGTAAAATCTCAAAATTACATATTTTATTAAACATGTTTCTATCTTATGAATAAGTGGACCATTGTAGTGCTCTAATATTCTTCAGTCAAGATTCTTACATTGTGTTTTTTCTTTTGGCAATCCTCTGTTGAAGCAATTTTGTATCTAAAGTTTTAAACTTTATGTTTCTCATTTGTCTCAAGTGTTCTACATGTGTGTGTGATCTATAATATGTCTTTTTTTTCAAATGTCAACTTCATACAGTCATATTTTTATATGTTTGTAATATTCTATGTGTGAGACATAACACCAGCAACAGCTGCCTGTGACCCATGTGTATTGTACTGTTACAATTTGAATAAATCAAATCAAATTCATCCTCCTCCTGCAGGTGTCTCCACTGTTTGAGTCCCGTCTTGAGCTGCGAGCGCCTGACATGGTGTTCGAGCCTTCGCTGGAGTTCCGCGCCGAGGACGGCTTCTACGACCTCATGGAGATGATCATCAACGACATCTACAAGCTGGCCTCACTGGTGCCGAGACTGGCAGCACACAGTGGCATTGAACACTACCAGGTAACTCTAACCCTAAACCTAACCCTAACATCTACAAGCTGGCCTCACTGGTGCCCAGACTGGCGGCGCACAGTGGCATTGAACACTACCAGGTATAAGCATACAATAAACGTGTTCATGAATCATGAGTCAGATATTTTTAAGTTACAGAAGTTTTTTAGTGCAAAACCTGTTGAAGATCTATTCCGCAACACCACATTTGAAAGCTAGATGGGTTGTCATCCTGAAATATTCAAACACGACCTTAAACGAGGCGTTCTGTCAAAGTGCTGTGCATAATACATTACGGTTTTTGCTCAGGGGATTCCGAAGTAGGTTCTGCCAAAGTGCTATGTACGCTACACAAAATCACACAAAATCATTGACCACCTTGTCTCTGTTCCCCCAGCCTGATCTGGAGGAGATGGACGACTTGTCAGACATGAGGCAGGAGCTGATGGACTGTGTCCAGTCTGTCATGAACCAGGCTCTGGAGTACAGGTGGGCAGGATATACAATCATGTAGTACACACTCAGGTACAATACAAGTGGACAGGATAGTGTGTGTGGCCTTGGTTCAGGAGCTGATGGACTGTGTCCAGTCTGTCATGAACCACTCTCTGGAGTACAGGTGGGCAGGATATACAATCATGTAGTACACAGGTAGAATACAAGTGGGCAGGATAGTGTGTGTGGCCTGGTTCAGGAGCTGATGGACTGTGTCCAGTCTGTCATGAACCAGGCTCTCGAGTACAGGTGAGCAGGATGTACAATCATGTACAATGTGGTACACACACTCAGGTAGAATACAAGTGGACAGGATAGTGTGTGTGGCCTGGTTCAGGAGCTGATGGACTGTGTCCAGTCTGTCATGAACCAGGCTCTGGAGTACAGGTGGGCAGTAGATATATCTGTACATGTGGTGTGTATGGCCTGGTCGAGTTTCAAGGGTATAACACTGTCTCTAGATCTTCTATCAACACCAGATGGTTGGGAGTCTGATTCCACAGTACTTGCTTGGGGTGGGACTTTGACCTGTGGTCCACTGTTCATTGTACTTGCAAAAAGAGCAAGAGAATTTCTCTGAAACAATGAACCTTTATATACTGTCTTATAATATCATGATAGTGTTGTAGGGCTTTTCTTCTAATGTTTCTCACCTGCTTAGGTTTCGATGCCTGTCAGACACTTCTAACTGGAGTACTGTCTGTCCTATGTGCTACCAACCTGATGAAATTGTGTGCCACATTGGGGGAATAGTATTTCTTTAAGATTAACTGGTTAACTGATTAACTTGTAAACTGATTAATGTGGAATTTTCTATTTTGCAGGAACTCGTTTGACACGTACGCGTACCTGTGGGTGGATGACCGTAACGAGTTCATGCGACAGTTCCTGCTGTACAACCACGTGCTCACTCCCGAGGAGATCGAAGCTCACGCAGAGGAGGGCGTACCAGAGTGCCCGCCGACTCTCGAGCAGTTCAAGGAACAGGTACATAGTTACCTTTGTGTTGCTCAAATTTGTGTTGTTTAAAACTTGTTTTGACAAGTTGAGTGGCATCAGTGGCGCAATGGTTAGAGCGTTGGACTTGGAACCGATAGGTTCCAGGTTCGATACTCACTGTGGCCAGACGTTGTGCCCTTGGAAAAGGCACTTTACACGACTTCCCCATCATGTACGGTGGATTGACGCCCACCGAGCCTCTTAGGCTAATCTGTCTAACTGTGTGCCAAAACACTACGGATTTGCTGTGCCAATGTGTCAACATCTGCACATTGGCCACTGAGAGCCATAATTTTTTTTACAAGTTCCTCTGACCTTGGTGCTGATTTTGTCGTTAGAGATGTGAAGTGATGTATGTAGCTGGTTTCAGGAGAAACTGCTTTGAAATAAGTCAAATAATTCACTCAACATGTCATTAGATAGCTTTAAACAATGTCTAGAGTTAGAAGTTCAAGGGTTAGGTGTAACAAGTCGATCGGTGTAATATAGCCAGCTGCCGCCGCGCCGCGTGCCTGCGAAGCTGGTGTGTTACGCCGAAAGGCAGTTATACCGGCTATACAGATACAGATACAGAACATGTCTTTTTCTTTTTCCCCCAGATTGACACGTATGAGAAGATCTACGATGACCTGACCCAGGTAGCCCCCACGCGGGTGTTTGATCAGTGGTTCCGCGTCGACATCAAACCCTTCAAGCAGGGTCTGCTGAACACCGTCAAACGCTGGAGCCTGCTGTTCAAACAACACCTCATCGACCATGTCACCAACAGGTGGGTTTTTTATTATGTTGAGGAAAAAAAAGTTAGAAGAAGAAAACAACAAAATTTAGAAGAAAAAGCAGAACATAGGAGCATTAAGATGAGTGGCCTAAAGCATCATACATTGATCACAAAGTGCAAGTTACAACAATAAAGTGCAACATTTGAAGTATATTTGCTGTTGTTTTTTCCAGCTTGCAAGAGCTGTCCGACTTCATCAACGTGGCGAATGCAGGTCTGTCCCAGGAGGTGGAGGAGGGAGACTACGACGGGCTGGTGGGGGTCATGGGTCATCTCATGGCCGTACGCGACCGGCAGGCCACGACAGACGAAATGTTTGAGCCGCTGAAGCACACCATCGAGCTGCTGAAGACTTACGACCAGGAGATGTCAGAGGAGGTCCACACTCAGCTACAGGTCAGGAGAAGATGCTCTTTTCTCTCAGATTTCCTTTAAATCTTAGTTAGTTTTTCCGATGGTTACGGACATTTAGTACGGTTGATGATTGAGTGATTTTTGAAGGGACTCTTGCTTCTCACTTCAACTGCCTTTTTCTGGTGGCAAGTCTCTGTCCTTGGTGCTGAAACAATGGTTATAAATGGGTCAATGATTTACTAAGTATATGAAGAACATTTCCAGTTTTTCTGGACAAATACTTACAAAGAGAAAAATGGTCTCAGTATTTACAGTAGTTCTGAAAAATAATGTCTAGCCATAATTTTGCTCATCTTTTTTATAAAGCAGTATCAAGTGTACATGTTTATGAATAAGCAAGTACCACATGAACAACATCCACCAGTGCCTTAACTTTTCCTTGTCCCATCCTGTATCCTCAGGAACTGCCAGAACAGTGGAACAACTCTAAGAAGGTAGCGATCCAGGTGAAACAGCAGGTGGCACCACTGCAGGCTAATGAGGTGGCCATCATCCGCAGGAAATGTGCTTCGTTCGACGTAAGCTCAAGTTTTTATATATTATTCATCTAACTATTATGCATGAAATAAAACATAAGCCCTTTACTCAGACTTTGTAAGTGCAAACCTTTTTGTAGATATCAAGTCAAAGTCTTTTGAGACTGACTGAGAGTGAGAGAGTGACACAAGGAGAGAGAGATCTAGAAAGATTAAGAATTACAGCAGACACTCTACTGGCAATGCTGAAAATTTGACTTGATAAAATTCAATGTCAGTAAATATACATTCAATATCTTTTTCCTGTAGCTCATCTGCTTGTAAGTGTCAATACCTTTTGGGGAACAATGACCGTTTTACATATTCTGTAGTGTGACAGAAACAGAAGACGAGAGGAAAGTTGTGAGTGTACATCTGTGAAAACATGTTAGCTCATGTTTGTGTTCGTAATGCCTGCAGGTGAAGCAACATGAGTTCAGAGAAGTGTTCCGTAAGCTGGAGGCCTTCAGGTTTGACTGTCAGGAACCCTACAGTATCCTGGATAAGGTAAGTTTTCCACAGAATCCTCAGAAACTCTCTTCAAGTTAGTCACATTTGCTGCCTTTCCTTGAGGGAAGATGTCAGTGTCCAAGTATAAAACAAGATACAGGTTACATAATCTGTACTTCATTTGGTTACTCCAAATAGTAAAAATCAAGATGCAAGAATCTGTAAATTTCCATATTTTTCATTGAGCATGTACTTACACAAGGAAGTTCTTACAAAAGCAACTGGATAGATTTTGAAAACTGTCAGACGTTTCAAGTATAGCATTGCTTATTGTTAGTGATTTTCGTCAATGTAGTTCTCTTGAAATATGGACCAGTCACTGACGAAAAGTTGCCGGAGCAACAACTTCCATGTGTATCTCATTACCTGGATGTCTAATAACGTTCATCGATGAACACCTACTTTTTTTACCCCCAGTGTAACGCTGACATCACAGACATGGAACAGGAGATGGCGGCCCTCCAGGCCTCGGCAGGGTTATTCGAGGTCAACGTGCCGGACTACAAACAACTCAAGCAGTGCAGGAAGGAGATCAAAATGCTCAAGGTAATATAAGATTGTGTTGAAATCTATTAGTAACTTATCAGTCTAAATGTACAGAAAACTTCCTGTAATTCCTAAAATATCTAACCCAGACCTGTAAACTAAAGACAGTTTCATGCTGACCCAGAAACAGTAGTTGTGACTGATGTAAGGACTTTACTGTTAGCAAGAAGGCTTGTGAGGTTCCAAAGTTGCAACCCTGTTTCAGATATAGAAATGAAAAAAAAAAAATCTTAGTAAATTGTTTAACGTTATTCCAACACAAGGGTTAAACAGAGATCAAATTTTCAATGACCACCCTCACCTTCATCAGGATAATTAATGACCAATCACTTCAAAATGTAATGTAGCAAGATTTACAGTTACAGACACGTGACCTTATTCACACGAGACTTTACGGATATATGACGTCATTTGATCAAACGTGCCAGGAAGTTGATATTGTCCACCGTCTCTGTTAAGTAATGGCTGGAGTTACCTGATAGATACATGGCTTCCCTCTCTCTTAAAACATAGTCCAATATTCTAACTTTGTGTTCCTACTCCCCAGACCCTGTGGGACATGATCATCCTGGTCCTGACCAGTACAGACGACTGGAAAACCACTCTGTGGAAGGACATTAACGTGGAGCAGATGGAAATGGACAGCAAGAAGTTTGCTAAGGACATCAGGAGTCTGGACAAGGAGATGAGGTCAGTAGTGATACATTTCATTTCATTTCATTTCATTCCATTTCATCTATTTTATTTTACCAGTCTGTGCCCTGTTTTTCAGGTGTCCCTGGGTACTTTAAAATATATGCACACAGACTCAAGCAACAAAACAAATAACTAGACTAAGTCTTACATTTACATAAAACAAATAATGTCGCTAACTGATGTTTGTCAACTTTTTTTCGGCACCTACCACACCATAAACATGTTCCATGAACACCTCCATTTTTCTCAGACTGTGAACTTCTGCTGCTGTGTCTATGAGCATAAAAGTTAATTACAGTAACCAAATATTCACCACTCTTCCTGCAACCATCTCTGCTAAGCTAAGTTCTGTCACAGTTGCAAAGTTATTGTACCATTAAAATCAATGCCGTTCTCCAGAGCATGGGACTCGTTCATCGGCCTAGACAACACGGTGAAGAACATGCTGACTTCCCTGCGCGCCGTGGGAGAGCTGCAGAACCCAGCCATCAGGGAGAGACACTGGCAGCAACTCATGCAGGCTACTAAGGTTTGGGCATGGTCCTGTTGCTATAATAGTTAACCCCCAAGTTGTACTAAAATAGAAAAATAAAAAGTTACTGGCAAGTGTGGACCACAGTTTCCTAGCTAGAATTCAAGAGTTTGTCTGAGAATTTTTAGCAAGTATTTTACTAGTAAGTTACATCAATGGTAATGATTAAAGAAGCATGCTTTTTCAAATGACATGCAAGTTTAGCTTGACTGAGAAAATGATAGAAACGATTTAGGACTTGATACATGATATAATTTTTAAGCTTCCAAATCACAAGATAACTGCTTAGTCACTTGGTGGTCTTGTGGTTAGGGTTGTCGACTATCTAGTAGGCCCACCTAACACCTGTTCCCTCACTCGATTCAGATGAAAATGAGTAGTAGGTTTATGTGGAGCTGGAGGTCCCGTCAGGCATATTAAAGATCCAACAAACAAACAAAAAAAACAGTGTCAGATCATCACCATTCCCCCTGGTCTGTTTTTTTCAGGTGAAGTTCATCATGGATGACAGCACGACCCTGGCAGACCTGCTGGCGCTGAACCTGCACAACTTCGATAAAATCATATCTAGACTTGCTATGTGCTAAGGCTATTTAAAAGATAAGCCTCCAAAGAAAACTGAGTGTAAAACTCATCCTCCCTGGTCTGATTTTTTCAGGTTAAGTTCATCATGGATGACAGCACGACCCTTGCCGACCTGCTGGCTCTGAACCTGCACAACTTTGAGGACACGGTCAGGGACATCGTGGACAAGGCCGTCAAGGAGAGCGGCATGGAGAAGGTGGGTCATTTCAAACACAATTACTACTAGAAAACTAACAACAAATCAAATGCATAATGTTTAACTTTGCATATGGTCTGCTCTGTTAATTCTTACTCAAACACATTCATATATATGGTCAGACAGGAGTCTAAGTTCCTCCTGCTATAAAATTGCAGCATGATGCAACCCAACACTAGTTACCATGGTGACAGACGTCTGGTTCAGGTTATTGACCTTATTTGTTTGGAGAAGAAGAAGAAACTGAGCAAAAACAATATTATTATATGTTTTACTTGGTAAACATAATAACAGCACAATAGTACAGTACAGAAGGCCCTTAAGGCTCAATTGTTTGATTTAAAGCATTTAACAATTATTACATAGCTAAAATCTTGAATGTCCTCCTCCCACGCAGGTCCTGAAGGAGCTTGACGTGACGTGGAAGTCAATGGAGTTTGAGAACGAGAAGCACGCCCGCACCGGCGTCACGCTGCTCAAGGCCAGCGAGGAGCTCATTGAGACCCTGGAGGACAACCAGGTAAAGATGGGTTTAATCTAAGGGCAATCATTCGCAACCTAATGTCAGATGTTTTCCTCCCCATCTACTGGACGATGAAAACTTTTATAGTATTGAACTTCATTGTAGTTTCAAATATTTTTCATTTTGAGTATAACCCTTAAAGATAGAGGGTATAAAAATATATGTACTAACTAAATCAATTTAAGATGAGAGTTTTGATTTATGACATAGCTTTCATAAATGACGTGAGCTTTGTTAGATTTCAGGTTGCTGTATGACCGGGGACATTTTTTTCTCTGCTTTGAATGTGTATTATTTCTTCAACAAAGAACAAAATAGATACTGCATCATTCTAAGATTTCTCTATTCTGATAACCATTTTTGCAGGCCAAGGTTCTAAGTGCAATGATGCCTTCTTTGATAAACAAAACAAAAAATGATTTATACAATGACAATCATGTTTTTCCAGGTGCAACTGCAGAACCTGATGACGTCCAAGAGAAAATATTTTGACAAATGTTTTATACAAAACAGAGTTATTAGCTATTTAAGGGAGGTTTTGAAATGCACTCTGCCTCTTCTTCGACCCTGTAAGATCTCGTCTAGTATAACAGAACAACAATTACTGATACAATGATGTGTTTTGACAGGTGCAACTGCAGAACCTGATGACGTCCAAGTACATCGCCCACTTCCTGGAGGAGGTGTCAGGCTGGCAGAAGAAGCTGTCCACGGCAGACTCCGTCATCTCCATCTTCTTCGAGGTCCAGCGTACCTGGTCTCATCTCGAGAGCATCTTCATCGGCTCTGAGGACATCAGGTGAGGAGAGTCTTACATTTACCGGATTGCCTGTGTATTAAACTTCTTGGACGGCAGTTCAGTACCAAGGAGAGTTCACCCTGTTGTTTATATCATGATCATGTTTACCTAGTTTGGTGTTTTTGCTCTGTCAATGAATTGGACAGTTTGGCTGCCACCATGGTAACTGGTGCTGTAGCAGACACCCTGTGGTGTTGGATTTCATTATGGAGCAAGTGACAGGGCAGAGTCGAGGGGGCTGGTCACCATATATAAGAATGTGTTTGAGTAAGAATTAATGGATCTGTAGCTAGGCCATGGCATGTGAAGGTAAACATTATACATTTGCTTTGCAAATGTTACTTTTCTAGTTGTATGAATTACAGCTAAAATACTTTTTTCCCCATTCAGGTCACAGTTGCCTGAAGACTCCAAGAGGTTTGATGGCATAGATGTGGACTTCAAGGTACTTTTGTCTCCTTTCATTTCTAAATGTCTTAAAAGCAAGTTCAACACATTTATAGCTGTTTTTCCTACTGTCACGTTTCTTTGTCCTTGGTGCTAAAACAATGGTTATAGGTACTATAACGAGTGAATTTTATGGATATTTTGGGAGTGTCTTGTCAAAATTTACATGTACATCAAAGTAAAACTTTGCAAAGATGGAAGATGAAATCCCAAAAACCAATTCCTATTTTTCGTAATTTGTTTTTTCTCTTTGCAGTCTTTGTCCTTGGTGCTGAAACAATGGTTAAATGGTGCTGTCACTCTCAGAGTGATTTTCATGGATATTTTGGTGTGTCTTGGCAGAAATTACATCAAAATAAGGCTTTGTTAAGAAGGAAGAAGAAATTAAAACCAGTCTTGTTAATTTTTTTTCTCTTTGTGATCCTCAGGCTGGTTTAGAAGAACTGGTAGCTACCCCCAACGTGGTCCAGGCTACCAACAAGAAGGGACTGTACGAGAAACTCGAAGCACTGCAGGGAGGGTGTGTATGGTTTATACCTTATATTTCTGACAAAGAGCTTTAAATTTGGTCGTGCTAGCATTAGTAGTATTATCCACACTTTGAATTACTGCTGTAGGTGTCCCAGACATGAGGGTGGACAGCAGTCATCAGCTAGTCTAGATTCCAAGCATCTCTATCCAATGGGTCCACATTGGCGAGACCCCGTTCTCTGTTGGTGTAAAATGTATGTTCTAGGGAGGGTGCATGGAACAACATGACTTGTGGAAGCAGATAAAAGGTCTGAATACTGACTGTCACACAGTAACTTTACAACAACATATACATGTAGCAGTATCTGTATCTGTATCGGTATAGCCGGTATAACCGCCCTTCGGCATAATACACCAGCTATACATGTGTATGTAGACTTGAGTTTTTTGTACAATCATGCACTCATAGATTGAAGTGAGTTTAACATGCATATTTGGTTCCTGTTCCAGGCTGACCCTATGTGAGAAGGCCCTTGCTGAGTACCTGGAGACCAAACGTCTGGCCTTCCCCAGGTTCTACTTCGTGTCCTCGGCTGACCTTCTGGACATCCTGTCCAACGGCAACCAGCCTGTTGTGGTAGGTGTCTTACCTACCTTGTGTTACCTTGAGATACCTAACATGGTGCTCCTAAAATTAAGTTTAACCAATGTTTTATTATCTAGTTCCAAGCTCTGACACATACTTGTAATTGAGGTGATATCTTCCAGTCCTCCTTTTCCCATGTGACAGAGACCACAGTACCAAGTTGTAAACTCCTACCCAGCTTCTGAAACTGTGTCCAGCAAATCTCAGATGTCTAGCTCTTACCTTATCAGACAGTTTGGAGAGCTCAGTGTACAGCTTTACCTTATTAACTGGCAGAACATATTTTTACTGGACCTGCATGAAACCTGGATTTTTCAGTTTTGGATACTTGGTCAATGTTTCATCAGAATTTTTCCTGTTGCAGATGACATAACTTTTGAAAATCATACACTGGATGTCATCCTTAAATATGTGAAAATGACGTTAAATGAGATGCTCTGCCAAAATGCTATGCACAATACATTACAGGATTCGCGCAATGTCATACACAGTACATTTTATCAACATGCTTTACTTAAACCATTCTTTATGCCCTTTCCCCCCCCAGGTGTCCAAGCACCTGTCTAAGCTGTTTGACAACATGGTGAAGCTGAAGTTTGAGGAGGACTCCGCCGGGGAGCCCACCAAGATGGCGGTGGGGATGTACAGTGGGGAGGGCGAGTATGTGGACTTCGATCAGCAGTGCGACTGCAACGGACAGGTAGGGCTTCTTTGGTTTTACAGTTTTTTATGAAGAAACTGTTTTATTGGATACATTCAATTCTACTTAATCGTTGGCTATGATTTCAATAGGATAAGCCAAGTAGATCCACAAATAAATAAAGTCTTAAACAAGTCAAAAAAGTGTGCCAGGTTTTCAGACCTGAGAATGTTGGTGAAATATATTGAAAATTCTCCTAGCTCATTTTGACAAGCACAGTGAACAGTGGACCACAGCTTAACGTCTTATCCTTAGGACTGCAACCCCTTCCAGTAGCATAATAGTGTTGGGTGAGCAACAACAGCCACAGGAACTGCGCACGCTATGAGTTAGGCTCTGCCTATGCACTATGGAAGGACCTCTCTCTTCTTTGAGGCATAAATACAAGTTCTGACCCGTTGTTCATGTAGGTTGAGGTCTGGTTGAACCGGCTGATGGACAGGATGAGGGAGACAGTGAGACTGGTCTGTGCTGAGTCAGTCATCACTTACGAGGAGAAGCCGCGCGACCAGTGGCTGTTTGACTACTGTGCACAGGTCGGTTGTAAAGCATTATGTTTCATAGTAATAGTAACGATTTGAACTACAACACATGGCTTACAAATAATGTAAAAAGCTTGGAAGCTTTCAGACAGCATCTGACTGACTGTAATTCACCATTTGAAGTTGCATGTGTCCCACACAATCTTTTGGACATACTTCATGACAGAAGTTCATCTCAGAAGTCTTTATTCTTGTCTCGAGTTTGTAAACATTTGAATAGACTCCTCTTTTTACACAACCAAGTCTTTTAGACAGCCGACGTTTCAGCGACCGTCTGTCACCTTCCTCAGGGCAATTCTGACTGGTTCACATTGCACTGCAGCACAGGTGTCGCTGTAATACAGGAAGGTGACAGATGGTCATCAAAGTGTCGGCTGAATAAACCTCTTAGTTGTGTAAGAGTCTCTTTATTTGATGACTTACCAACCTGATGAAACTATTCACGGATACTAAACACATGACTCTCTCTCCAGCCTGCACTGACAGTGAACCAGATCTGGTGGAACACGGAGGTCGTCATCACGTTCGGCCGGCTGGAGGAGGGCTATGAGAACGCCATGAAGGAGTTCAACAAGAAACAGGTAAATAAATAAATAAAACTGATCAATATTAAACAAGGAAAAGGTGCCATGTTTTCTCATACCTTCAGAAAATACTTTCTTGTCTTAAAATCAACTTCTGATCAGTTCATGTAAAAAATTGCAAGAAATGTGGTAACGTTTTTGTTAACATTGTAAATTTTTGTTTGGAAGTGATTGGTCATCAGTCATACTGATGAAGGTGACTGGTCATTGAAAATTTGATCTCTCTGTACCTGTTGTGTGGAATAAGGTCCAATACTTTACTATAAAAAGTTGTAACAGTTCGTGTTATGTCTACTAGTAGATGAACTATGTCATGCATGAACCTTCAAAGGATTAGTTTGCCTCAGCTGTACCCACAGAACATACTGTATGTGATGTCTTGGTCATCTTTGAGGATGACAGACAAAGAACAAGAGATGAACATACTACGCTTTGTAATGTTTAGATCAACCAGCTGAACCAGTTGATCACCCATCTCCTTGGTGAGTTGACCAGAGGAGACAGACAGAAGATCCTGACCATGTAACACAAACAAACAAACAAACAAACAAACAAACAAACAAACCATTTGTTGTTCTGTAATATTTAGATCAACCAGCTGAACCAGTTGATCACCCATCTCCTTGGAGAGTTGACCAGAGGAGACAGACAGAAGATCATGACCATCTGTACCATCGATGTGCACAACCGAGACGTGGTGCAGAAAATGATCCTGAACAAGACGGAAACGGCACAGGCCTTCCTCTGGCAGAGTCAGCTCAGACACAGGTGAGAACTGCAAATTTGTTTGTTTGTTAGGTTTTCACAGTGTTTAAAATTCGTGGTAACACAAGTCTGTACTGCAATATATATACTGTTATGTACTGGAAATCCTTATTTATTTATTCATGAAAATATGGAAAACTCTCATTCTGTGAATGTATTGAATTTCTTAGATGATTGCCATGGAGCCAAGTCAAATTGCATGTACTTTCAAAATTCTGATATCCACTTTTGTTTTCTATTTTGAAAATAAAAAAAGTACATCCTAACATATAGTTGTCATAAATATCTTGAAAGTTGAATATGACAGCCATAATTTTGAGGAATCAAAGGAAACTTTTAAAGTTCTTCCTAGTATGCTTATCCAGCCTATGTATATTAAGTAACTGGTTCATCAGTAGATGGATTGATTGATAAGTTGATTGATTAATTGATTGTTCATTGTGTTGACAGATGGGATGAGAACCAGAAGCACTGTTTTGCCAACATCTGTGACGCCCAGTTTAAGTACTCGTACGAATACCTGGGCAACACCCCTCGTCTGGTCATCACTCCTCTTACTGACAGGTACAATAGAAACTATCAGTATGATATTAACTATCAGCTTTTAGGCCTTGCAAGCACAGGGCTCAATATACCACGTACATTTGTTTATGCAGGTTAGGTAGTCAGACTGTTCCAGTCAGTTTGCAACGGCATTCTAGTTCAGATTTACTAATTATGAATTTTACTAGATATAGTGTACTTTTACCTCACTTTACGTTCACAGTTAAAGCAAAATTTCACAGTCTGAGAGATATGGAGGTGTTAACAGAACTATATGCTTACAGTAGCAGGGAGAAGGGGATGGGGGGCCAAAGACAAATGATTTGTTAGTGGTAATAACTATTTCATGGTACAGAAGTGACCACAAAAACAATGAACGTAAAAGTATCGTAAAAAGTCAAGGAATAATAACTTAAAGTAACAGAGAGCAAAACCCAAAAATCTGATTTTTTTCTGCCCCTGCTACCCCAGATGTTACATCACGCTGACCCAGTCTCTCCATCTGATCATGGGAGGAGCGCCCGCCGGGCCCGCAGGTACGGGGAAAACCGAGACCACCAAGGATCTGGGGCGAGCCCTCGGCATCATGGTATACGTGTTCAACTGCTCTGAACAGATGGACTACAAGGTGAGAGCACGTTTTTGGTTACTGTAAGGGGGTTGCTTTATAGTACAAAATAATTAATGTGACAAACTTAAGACTGAAGTAAACTTTTGAGCTTTTGGTCAGAATAAGCCCAGTGTTTTTTGTTACCACAGTGTAAGTGGGTAGCTTTAAAGTAGTACCTTTATGAGGTAAACTTTTGAGTTTTGGGCCAGAATGGTGTGCTGAAAGTTGTTATTGTCTGGCTGATAATATTCTTTTCCCCAATTGATTATGAATTCTAGATAATTCTTATAAGAAAATTTTACTGACTTTCAGTGAGTTTTGCATGTCATGCCATCATGGCAACATATTAATATTGATTATTGTGGAGAATATTCTGTAACTGTGGTGTTGTAAGAACTTTTATGGAAACTATCATTAAAATAAAATTAATTGTACTATTTAGACACAGAAAGAGATGCCTTATATGTCTCCTGATCCCATGCATATCTCTCTTCCTCCTCCAGTCTTGCGGGAACATCTTCAAGGGTCTGTCTCAGACGGGAGCGTGGGGCTGCTTCGACGAGTTTAACCGCATCTCCGTGGAGGTTCTGTCTGTGGTGGCCGTACAGGTCAAGTCCATTCAGGACGCCATCAGGGACAAGAAGAAGAGGTACCTAAGTTAGTTTATGAATGAATTTTGGCATTTGGCATTTACAGCATTTTGATTAAAAGCTAAGAAATGTATCTTTGGCGAAAAGACTTATTGCATGGTTGAAGTAACTTTCAACTAATTTTCAAATGAAAGAAAATTTACGCTCATTGAAATTGCTTTGTAATGGAGTGACGTGAAAGGCTTGAGTATGGCTGCATCAGGCCTCACCAGTTTCTCAGACTTTCCCTCAGACTTTCTTAAGAAAATGTTAGCAACTTGTCAGCAAGGTATTTTGAATGTCTCATATCTTTTCTCTGCAAATATTCATTGTTCAGTCTAAGCATCCGATACGGTAATTACATGACTGTATAAAAGTTTCCTTGCACAGTTGCACATTCAGGTAAATAAAGGATTTGTCTTACGTTACAGTTTATTAGGATCCACATTCAGCATACATGTACAAGACAGTAGCTATTCTCCCTGTGGTCTGTTCTAACACACAACACAACACACAGGAAAATATACAAAACATAGACATTGACAACAATAGTACATGTATTATAAAATTATGTATTTTGTGTTTGTTTCCCAGGTTTGACTTCATGGGAGAGGATATCAGCTTGGTGCCGACTGTGGGCATGTTCATCACCATGAACCCTGGGTATGCAGGCAGAACTGAGCTGCCTGAAAACCTCAAGTCTCTCTTCAGGTGAACTATTCATTATTATTATATATTAATTATAATAATTATAATATATACTGTGGGCATGTTCATCACCATGAACCCTGGGTATGCAGGCAGGACTGAGCTGCCTGAAAACCTCAAGTCTCTCTTCAGGTGATTACTGTTCATTATTGGGCTTTCAATTTGTATGTTTCAAAGATTTTTCTAAGAGTGATAGAATTCTGCATGGTGTAGAGGTTGCCACAAACTTTTTTAAAAAGGGAAGTGTACACAGTCAAGCATTTGCAATTTGTCTGTTTCATGAAAGCATAAATCATACTCAAATTGACAGAAGGAAAGTTTTGTAAGATTGCCTGTATCAGCAAGAAGACATGTTAGGAAGACACCTTTTAGTTAAAGAAAACTAGTACAATATGAGAATGTATGAACAAATTTGGTTTAAGAAAAGGACATTTAATGTCAATCATTCATAATCTATTTAGGTGCAGATAGTCTGTAATTTTGTTCCTCCCTGCAGACCTAATAATACACGGCAGTGCTGTTTTTGCTAAGATCAGGTCTGGGGTACATTTTGTAATAATTTTGTCCCTCCCTTTAGACCCTGTGCCATGGTGGTGCCAGATTTTGAGCTGATTGCTGAGATCATGTTGGTGGCTGAAGGCTTCATGGATGCCCGACTGCTGGCCAGGAAGTTCATCACCCTGTACTCACTGTGTAAGGAGCTGCTGTCAAAACAGGTCAGAATAGTGAAGTTCTTTATAGATCTTAAGTTGTAGAAAACCATACAAAAGTCCCTGTACATGAATGTATCCCTGTTGAATCAATAAAGAATCTCTTTATTCACAAGCACTTGTTTAACATGAGCCAATGTTTCAATGACTGTCTGCCATCTTCATCAGGGCTAGAATGACTGGTTCGATGTGCACTAAAGCTTGCAACATGTAGGTGTTACTGGTTCACAACTTGCCTAGCTTCAGTGAACCAGTATTTGTACATTAGGCACAGAAAACATAAAATGTGCTGGCTTAAGCTTTATGCATTGCATGTTTATAAATTTTACAAAGGTTTACAAATTTACCTCTACTCAACGTATACTGATTGATTGGATGTGTGTCTGTTTCTTCTGTAAAAAAAACTAAAACTTTACTAATTGTAAAGACAAAGACTTTACAGTACATATTTTTCCCCTTCCACAGGACCATTATGACTGGGGTCTGCGTGCCATTAAGTCTGTGCTGGTGGTGGCCGGCGCTCTGAAACGTGGAGACCCCACCCGCCCTGAAGACCAGGTCAGTCTGCTACAACTTCTTCCTCCGTTTATACACCCCGTCATTTTAACTTACATGTAGCTCATAGTGCTGCCATCTTGTCATGGATCACTGCATCAAGAAAAGAGTGTTCAGACCTCTGCTTCAGAAATGCTAAATCAGAACTTAATCACATTGACACAATGTAACTTAAAAGTTAACTAGACAAGTTACCTTAAAAATTATTCACTCGACAGACATTGAACAGACAATCGACAGTGTTGCCAAACTGCATGTAGACCTTACATTGTAACGGTTCTTGGTGAAAATTCGTAGTATGACTCCCAAATCTTAAATTCCTTATTCCAGTGCAAGCTCTCAGTTGCATGTGACCCTTACTAGAATCGCATGACTTGTTCAGCATGTCACAATGCACTATCAAAGTTAAACATCAGAATGATGTAAACGGTTATATAATGTGTGAAATGTACATTGCTCTCTGATTGCTCACAGCATGCAATTCTTCCTTTGCTGTGCACTTGCAGCTCTTTGCTAACCCACAAATACTAGTGCTGCTTTAAAGTGATTTCAGCTTATGGTAACTGGCTAGATGCTTTTTTTTTTACACTTCCAATCAACAATATTTTCAAATTTCTTCCTAACAATGATGTAGTTGACAGTATATTTCTTGCACCAGGCACAAAATTTAGTCAATAATCAACATCATAGTAGTTTGCCTGCAACTTTTGTAAACTTTGCTTAACTCACACCTGCATTTTGTCCCCTTATGCTCTCTCTTTGCATGCTTGCTTGCACAAATGCAGCTTGGTCAGAATTTGGTAAGACCCAACAAGTAATAATTGTTCCGTGACAGCAAGTAACATCCGTGTCCATAATTATCCAGGGTCCATAACATCGCCACCTTGAGAAACAGTGTGCTTCAAGATATTTTTACTGCAACATACTTTTGGTATGCACTCCTTCGCACATCAAATGTACATACCTAGGGTATCTTGCAGTAAAAATATCTTTAAGCACACTATTTCTCAAGGTGGCAATATTATGGACCCTGGTGATATTATGGACACAGATATTATATATATATGTCTGCATGTTGTTGTTTTTCCTTTCCTCACCAAAGCCGTCGAGGAACTTGGACCACTTGCCGCCGTCGCGAAATCATTACATAATAGCCCATAACAAATTCTCAAAACAGGTGAAAATGGACCAGTGGTAGACTGGTCAAAAGTAGAACCTGTAGTAACCTGTAGTAATACTAGGCTCACTTGACAGCAGAATAATCTTGCACTTGTAGAAAAGATGTTAGACTAAGTGTACTCGGAGTAAATTTTGCCCATTTGAACCCAAAAAATGCATACTGTACATTCAATCAATTTATGTAATATGTAAGCCATAGAAGAAACTGCAAATAATGCACTGGCCCCTTTATAGTACTATTAGGTAACTTGGAGGTTTTGTACCATAAAATTGAAACAGTTATGTTTCCAGTCAACATCAAATCAAAGTGCACGTTGTTATTAAAAAAAACTTCATAATCTTTTTTTCAGACAGCTTATACATGTAGTTCATAGTTGCACACATCTTAATAAGATCATAAAATCATACAAAATGCATCCTTTATGGTAGGTTACAGCAAGAGACCCATAAGGAAGATGCCTTTTTTTGTCTCATTTTCTGCACAGTCTCAGTGAGTTACTGTACATGTTCCAGCCCTTTCTTTTATCGCACCACTCATTTCAAGTATTTTACTCACTATTTCCCATGTCACGTGTACAACCACAGGTTCTGATGCGAGCCCTGCGTGACTTCAACCTGCCGAAGATCGTGACAGACGACGTTCCCGTGTTCATGGGCCTGATCGGCGACCTGTTCCCCGCCCTGGACGTACCCCGCAAACGAGACCTGGACCTCGAGGCACTGGTCAAGAAGTCCACCACGGACCTGAAGCTCCAGCCGGAGGACAACTTTGTCCTGAAGGTGGTGCAGTTTGATGAGCTTCTGGCTGTCAGGCACTCCGTGTTCGTGTTGGGGAACGCAGGCACTGGAAAGAGTCAGGTAGGGATAAACAAACAAACAAACAGCAAATATGCAAGCTATATTGGAGGTTACCAAGATAAACCATGAATCTAAAAGACAAACTTTAATTCAGTTTGACAAACTGCTTGTTGCCAGGCTCTCAGTGTTCCTGTTTGGAAATGTAGGGACAGACGGGGCCTCCAGAAACTTCAAGCTACTATACGCAACATACAAACTGTGAAAAGTATAATCTGAAGCAGTCTACCTGAAGTTCCTAAAAATTTGAAATTATATAGTCTGAAAAAGCGACATATTATCATTTACAGGTTACTGGTTACTCACAATCACAGGCTATGTAACTGTTTTGTTTTTAGTTAATTTAAAAGCTGTTCTGGCCCAGTTGCCATATGCATTGGATAGTAAAGCACTGTGTGTTCAACTTTCACAGGTGATCCGGACACTGATCAAGACCTACGCCAACCAGAAGCGAAAGCCCATGATGGTGGACCTGAACCCGAAAGCCGTAACCAACGATGAGCTGTTCGGCATCATCAACCCGGCCACGCGAGAGTGGAAGGACGGGCTGTTCTCCACCATCATGCGCGACCTCGCAAACCTCACCTCCGACGGGCCGAAATGGATTGTACTGGACGGAGACATTGACCCCATGTGGATCGAGTCTCTCAATACTGTCATGGACGACAACAAGGTAAAGAAAGAAAACAGAAATTCTTTGACTATAATAAAATGTATATTAATAAAATAATTTTTGTCAACAGCACTGGTTTCAGCACCATGGAAAGTAATGCTCATGATAGAAAGATTCCATAGTCTCCACAATGTTTCAATGTGCAATTTGATGTAAGCACTCTCACGGATGCCCAAAGTGTGTGGGTCTCAGATTCGCAACCTGTTATCCACCTTAAACAAATCCAAGCGAAGGTAACCGTGTCAACACTCCTCACTCAGGTGTAGGAACTGACACGGTCTCCATTGTCTCTCGAGACAGAAGGATGCCAACAAAAACAACAACTCTCACTAACAAAGTGTTGTTTGTTTGTGTTGCTAGGTGTTGACCCTGGCTAGTAACGAGCGCATCCCCCTGAACCCCACCATGCGCCTGGTGTTTGAGATCAGTCATCTGAAGACTGCCACCCCCGCCACCGTGTCCCGTGCAGGAATCCTCTACATCAACCCACAGGACCTGGGGTGGAACCCGTACGTGTTTTAAAAATTTTTATGCTTAGTGATATTTAGGCATCTAGCTTTGTAAATAAAATCTGTTTCAGCAACTTCTATAGCAAAAAATCTGTTATCCAATTGTTGTCGTTCACAAAGATTTTCTTCCAGATTTGAACAGAGCTATGTACATATGATTTGTAAATCATTTGATTTGTATAATTGACAAACTGTAAGACAAATCAAACTCTACTATTGGATAAATTCCAGAGATTATTCTGGACGTTTTCAGTGACAACCCTCTCACGTCTGACAGAACTAGTTACGATGATTGTGTGCTGCTGCTAGTTGCTCAATGCTCCAATTGCAACAACCTTTTCAACTGCATGTGCAATCAATAGATAGGCCAGAAAAATTACTTTGAGAATTGAGTGGATCCGGATTAGGAATCAAGGTTTATGTAAAGTTCAAGAACTAAGATTTTAAATGTTTATTTCCCCGTAGTGTGGTTACGAGCTGGATCGACACGCGGGAGGTCCAGTCAGAGCGAGCAAACCTCACCATCCTGTTTGACAAGTACCTGCCAACGTGTCTGGAGGTCATGAAGGGCAGGTATGTACTAACATGAGTAATCTGTTCAAACCTATGATAAGTCTTGTCTAAAGGTTAACAGATCGTTCAGTGTACTGTAGCCAGCTGTAGTCGCTCCATTGCCTATGAAGCTGGTGTGTTATGCCAAATGGCCGTGTTATACGGACAGTACATAATATCGATATAGGTCCTTATACAGATTGAAACTCTTTAATCATTAAGGGTTTCTGAAGTGCAATGTACAAATGTAGAAATGTTTCATGAAAGAGTACAATGTACAACAATATCGTCTGTTTTAGACAGTACATGATGTAGTAAGTTCTTAGAGCATTTATGGCATCCATGGGTCTAGATGTGTTTTAAGGCTTGTAACTTTACTGATGTTTATGACTGACGTTTCCATCTGCTACTTGATACAACTAAAGGATCAGGCAAAGCAGGTACCAGTGGTGTGGTAGTGGTGGCTGACATAGAGTTAGCCTGCTACACTGTTAGCGTTTAGTTAGTACTTACTAATTATAGTAGTTAGCTTAGCCAATTTCATGCAGCACAGGGGTGCCTAGTTTGGTTCATAGTCACCCACCCACTGCTCTGAATCACTAGATTTGAACACATAAAAAATAGAGCAAGCAAAGCACAAATGTACATTGATAATTAATTAAATTGAATAAATAGATGACCAAAGGTTTCCTTTCCAATTAAGAATTGTTATTAATATTAATGGTACAATAATCATTTAGAATTGGTCAAAAACTTTTGAACAGTAAGAAATGATAAGTTGATAAATGCTTGAGGCCTGTTATTAAGTTTTGCCATGCTTTTGCCTTTAGGTTTAAGAAGATCATCCCAATCCCAGAGATGAGCATGGTGCAGATGTTGTGCCACCTGCTGGAGTGTCTGCTCACACCTGAGAACACTCCACCTGACTGCAACAAGGAACTGTACGAGCTCTACTTTGTCTTCGCGGCCGTCTGGGCTTTTGGAGGGTCGTTGTTCCAGGACCAGGTGGGTCATTGCCTTCAGGATTTAGGTGTTAAAAAACTTGTTCTTTCCTAGAACTATCGCAGAGTGGAACTCACTGTCACCAAGTACAGTAGGGGCATTGTCAATAGATAGCTTTAAACAGTGAGCAAAGAGACTCTTGTTACACAACCAAGTCTTTTATTAAGACTTTGTTTCGGTGACCATCTGTCACCTTCCTCAGAGCAATTCTGACTGGTTCACATTGCATTGCAGCAGAGATTTACACATATGCGTGATTGGATTACAGGGAAATGTGTCTACAATGCGTTCCCAAACGTGCGAAACGTCGGCTGAATAAAAGACTTGCTTGTCTCTTTACTCAGTATCTTACCAACCTGATGAAACTACTCACGGACATTTCTCTCTCTCTCCCGTAGCTGACAGACTATCGTGTGGAGTTCAGTAAATGGTGGGCCACGGAGTTTAAGACGGTGAAGTTCCCCTCGCAGGGCACCGTGTTCGACTACTTCATCGACCCCGAGACGAAGAAGTTCCTCCCCTGGCAGGACAAGGTGGCCAAGTTCGAGCTGGACCCGGACATCCCGCTACAGGTCAGCTGTCTCTTAATGTCTCTTCTCATCTTGCCTTTAGTCTTAATTATTCCACAGTTGGGATAGCTTGGGGCTCATTCCTTTCAATACCTTGGCTACTGTCGAATTAGACAAATACAAATGAAGAGGATTGCAAGGATATTTTCTACATGTTTACATCCCTCCCACATTAGCACAATTGTGTGCCAGAGACTTTTTTCCAATTTTTCAGAATTTATCCAAATGCTCATATTAAGCTGTTATGTTTGCAATTCTAACAAATAGATAAATATTAAGCTGTAACTTACAAAAATAGATCTTTTAACTTGTCTGGTATATTTTTTAAATGAAAAAAAAACTGTTTCCTTCCAAGTTGTTACTGAAAAGTCATTAGTACATATACTGCCATTGAAAAGCTCTAAGAAAAGTTAAATCTACATAAAAAAACAAAACTTTCATTAATGACTGTTGCCTAACGTTTGTCTCCCCATGTGCAGGCTGTCCTTGTGCATACGGCAGAAACCACGCGTATCCGGTACTTCATGGACATGCTGATGGTGAACCGGCGCCCGGTCATGCTGGTCGGGAACGCTGGCCTCGGCAAGTCTGTACTGGTCGGTGACAAGCTCAACAGCCTCAGCGAGGACTACATGGTGGCCAACGTTCCGTTCAACTTCTACACAACATCTGCTATGCTGCAAAGTACGTGACTTATGCTTCCATTTTTTGTTTTGTGATGTCTTTTCCCTGTCAGTGATATTATATGATCTAAGTTTGAGAGTTTTTTTAGAAGTTTTTACAAGGATAATCAGTAAGACAACAAAGCTTCTGTTACAGTGCCCCATAACCGTTCCTCTCCCACAATAAGTAGATGAAATTGTCAGAAAACAGTTATATCATCATAATGTCATAAAAATCAAGTCACAAACACTTGAAGTTATTGAACAATTGCGGGCAGGATAACAAAAATGTCATCCCTGCCAAATATGAATTTGCTTATTTTTGCAAAATGGTAAAAAATGGACCTTAGTCTTTGGTCTATTATAATATTTCTGTTAACAACGAAGCCTGTGTGTCTAAAGATTTTATTAACAAAACCTCCCCCACAGCTGTTCTTGAGAAGCCTCTGGAAAAGAAGGCTGGCTGTAACTATGGCCCACCCGGCAACAAGAGACTCATCTACTTCATCAACAACATAAACTCATGCTTAAAGTTAAAACTTTCAATCCAACACAAAAAGTTCTCTCACCTAGAGCTTTTGACCAGTCACTCTGGTCTTCCTCAGTAGACTGACCCAGTGAGGCTTGTCATGTGGCTTCTTTGAAGTGTGATGTCAACACTGGGTCAAAGGTATCTGGTAGACATAATCTCATGCTTGATCTCTTTTCTCCCCCCCCCCTCTACAGCTGTACTAGAGAAGCCTCTGGAGAAGAAGGCCGGCCGTAACTATGGCCCACCCGGCAACAAGAGACTCATCTACTTCATCGATGACATGAACATGCCGGAGGTGGACACCTACTTCACTGTGCAGGTCAGTTGTGCTTTCTGTGAACTGTGAGGCACTGTTTTGTTGTTAGCCATTGTTTTTGACAGCCATTGTTTTTGACACTGTAATAATTTATAACTTGATTGGAAAGATAAAACAGGTTTATTACTGTGACAGTAATCGTACAGTCTTCAGAATTACATTACCTCACATGTTGTTAATTGCTCAAAAGCCTAGCCTGAAGATGAACTTTCATGATTGTTATACACACACACACACACACACACACACACACATTGATATTTGACGTTGTTTCCCCTCCCCTATAGCCACACACGCTAATCCGACGACACATGGACTACAGCCGCTGGTACGACCGGGTCAAGCCTTAAACCTGAAGATGAACTTTCATGATCGTTACATGAAATTTTGTCGTTTCCCCTTTCTCTAGCCACACACCTTGATCCGCCAGCACATGGACTACAGCCACTGGTATGACCGTGTTAAGCTGAGTCTAAAAGACGTGCACAACTGCCAGTACGTGGCCTGCATGAACCCCACGGCTGGAAGCTTCACCATCAACCCTCGGCTGCAGCGACACTTCTGCGTCTTCGCGCTCAGTTTCCCCGGGCTGGACGCGCTGCAGCACATCTACACACAGATCCTGGCGCAGCATCTTACACAGAACGGTTTGTTTGATTTTAAATTCGGTTATTTATTTATTCGTTCAGAAATTACAACATGTACAGACAAGACTGCCTAACTAGCATGCATAAAGCTATTGTCAAGGACTAGCCCGGCGAAGAAATAGTTACACACAGTTGGTTATTCACATAATAATTGACACATGTCATACTTTGCATTTAGCCTGGCAGTGCTACAAATAAGATTGTAACTGTTACAGTATATTTGTTAAGTGGAGAATTTTAGGTACTGACTTGAACGGAAAACAGATCCTCAAGGGAGGTTCAGTTTTAAAGGAGGCTTTAGTTTTTAAGGAGAACAATGATGGAGCTGCCCATGTGTCAGGTGGAAGAGCGTTCCACAATATGATTGGATGTACTCATCTTAACCTGTAATTTGGTTGAGTGAGAAAATACAAAATGTAGTGCCTTTCCCAAGGGCAGAACATTGGGGCCTGCTAGGGATTAGAACCCATAACGTTCAGAATTACTCTAACCACAAGATCACCTTGTCACCAGGTTTTGCCAACTCGGTACAGAAGGCTGCCGGAACGTTGGTCAATGCAGCGCTTGGATTGCACTCCAAAATCACCGCCTCCTTCCTGCCGACCGCCATCAAGTTCCACTATGTTTTCAACCTGAGGGACCTGTCCAACATCTTCCAGGTGGGAATTAAAGCTGCATCTTTGTTTGAATGTTTATTGATTGGTATACATGTAGCTGTGGTATAAAAGACCTTAGTACAGCTAGGGTATCTGAATAGCTGGTATAACTGCCCTTTGGCTTAACACACCAGCTTTGCAGGCACACAGGGCGGCGGCAGCTAGCTATATTCCACTGAACAACTTGTTACACCTTGCCTAACATACTCAAGCCAAAGTGCTAGCTCTGCTGACAAACACTGAAAAAAGATCAGATGACAGTCAAAAACTTAGAAGCAAACTAAATTGCAGCATTTTACCTGTTAGGTAGACAAGGGAAGAGTTATTTTGTTCCCTGAAAAGAATCTTGCTGTTGCTGTTGTTTTTGTAGAGTAAAAAAACAACAAATTGTGTGAAACATTGTCCTTTATCAATGAAATTTAAGACAGACTTTTCTCCTACCCCCCCCCCTCCCCCAGGGCATGTTGTTCTCCATGCCAGACTGTGTGAAGGCACCTCTGGACCTGGTCAGACTCTGGCTACACGAGGCCTCCAGAGTCTACGGGGACAAACTCATCGAAGACAAGGACATGGAGGCCTTCGCCAAGCTCCAGGTCGACTATGCCAAGAAGTACTTTGAGGTACGTACATGACTTAAAGGTTTGCCCAAATGATGACGTCTTTAAAATATCAGTAGGCAGGTATATATATACAATGTCATGTATAGTAGCACCTAGAAGTGTTCTTGTTCCAAAAGAAGTTTAAAGTATCAAAGTTAAACATGTAACCACATGTACAAAATGTATAACACCCAGAATTGGTCTTGTTCTAAAACAATTTTTTCATAGGGTATAACACCAGGTCCTAGATTTAGTGTTCTTTCCATTTTCTAGTAGAGAGATCCAATGCAAATTTGAATATTCTACTAGATTTGTTGTACATCTATGAATATTGCCTTTTTGCGTTCTCTCTAATGTTGCAAATGTTGACATCGAAGATCATTGTTTTTCCCCCTGTATTGCTGAATGTGTAAAGGGAGTGACTGAAGAGGTACACTTATATTGGGTCATCCACTGCACTTGCTGCTAGCAAGCTGCCACGCATTCAAATGTCACTAGAGAAATAATTAATAAATAGTGGTCATGACATGTGCACAGCCTGCACGCAGGAAAAATGTCCATTATTTTTAAGGCAATTGTATGCCATATTTTTTCACACTGCAATAGGTTTGTAGTCACTAACCCATTGGTCAATAGAATTCAGTGTCACTTTATTTGGCCTGATAGCGTACATGCTGTTTTGTTTGCACTGTATAATATTATAATGATTGTGTGGTGCCTCTATGTCTACAGGATAGCAAAAAGTCTGTGAAGAAAGGGAATGATACAAAAAATACTATAGCTTTGATGTAAAATGATGATGACTTCAGACCAGTTATTTTGTACCATGTTTCAATGTTTTCCAAGGCTTGTTATAACTTATATGCATTATTAGCCTTTTGGGCAGGAATTTGCAATAAACTGAATAATTATTAAGCAACCTGATCAAACAGTTTGCAGTAAAAGTAACCCCATTGCCATGGTAAAATTTTGCAGGACATGAATGAGGACGACATCAAGAGACAGCCGAACATGTACTGCCACTTTGCCACGGGTATCGGTGACCCCAAGTACATGCCTGTGCCGTCCTGGGATGAGCTAAACAAGCTGCTGACCGAGGCGCTCGACAACTACAACGAAATCAACGCTGCCATGAACCTGGTGCTGTTCGAGGACGCCATGCAGCACATGTGAGTCTGTTTGTTTGTTTGTTTGTGTGTGGATAACAGGTAAACCGGTTCATATAACATACTTGTAGTACTGCCATTCTGTAGGCAAAGAAGAACTTAAGGTCTAAGATCTTGTAGCACTGCAAATCTTAAAATGTTTGGGCTGGTTTTTAGTCACCTGTTTGTATTGCATAATTGTAGATCACAATGGTGCAACATATATACCAGTCTTGAAAATAATGGTATTATTTCATAGTGGTTATGGGGACCTCTGGAATATGAATTTCCAGTGTATTACTAACAGTGCACTACAGAATTGTTTGAATTGCAAAAAAACTCCTTAGTCTTTCTTTCTATATAATATGAAAGATTGAATCCTTGTTTAAATGAAATAAATTACAGTTTTAGTTTCTATTTTTTCTTTAAAAATTTTCTTTTTAGCTTCTGTAAATCAGAATCTAGGTTAAACCCAGTCTTAATTATTCCCTATTCCCGTAGATGCCGTATCAACCGTATCCTGGAGTCACCACGAGGTAACGCCCTGCTGGTGGGAGTGGGAGGCAGTGGCAAGCAGAGTCTGTCCCGTCTGGCTGCCTTCATCAGCAGCCTGGAGGTCTTCCAGATCACCCTCAGGAAGGGCTACGGCATCCCTGATCTCAAGGTGGGTCATTCATGCTTACCTCCTCAGAAGGAAAATATAGTGTTTTTGCTGTTTCTTCCTTTCCAAAGAAAGTACCTCTTCTACGTCGGTGAAGGTTAGACATCCAGGTAAAATGATATGCTAAAAAGCAGTTACTCAAGCAACTGGATATGTTTTTGGAAAAGTCATTGGGCCACACAGTTGTGCAAGCACTACAGCAGGGGGCTCGCTTGCTGATAGTGTTTTGTGTTTGACCTTCCCATACTCTTTCTCATAGATGCTGAGTGCTAAGCAGAGAAAGTATGTTCCATTTTTAAAGTCTTTGGTATGACCTGGCCTGGGTTTGTTCTCACGACCTTCAGGTTACAAAGCTAGCACTCTATGCAATTCAGCTTTTGCACCGGTTTCATAGAGGTCTGAAATGTCTGAATTCTTGTCTTGTAGACAAGAAGGTTTCATGGGGGTCTAAAATCTGTGAATTCTTGTTTCCCATGCAGCTGGACATTGGAGCCCTGTACATCAAGGCAGGTCTGAAGAACATCGGGACCATGTTCCTGATGACGGACGCCCAAGTCCCGGACGAACGTTTCCTCGTGCTCATCAACGATCTGCTGTCCACCGGAGAGATCGCCGAGCTGCTGCCGGATGATGAGGTCGAAAACATCATAGGAGGTTAGAAGACTTCTCAGTGTGTCTTGTCAAATCTAAGCATTAACATATTAGATTGATGACATTGTTATTGTCCCTGTCCCTGGTGCTGAAATCATGTTTGCTATCTACATAAGACAATCTACTAGCCTTAGCACAGGCCCATTTTTGAAAAAGATAACAAGATTGGTTCCATTGTCCCTGTCCCTAGTGCTGATATCATGTTTGCTGTCTATCTAAGACAATCTACAGTAATTGAAATCTTTCAGATAAGCACATGACCCTGTTTGAAGTGTATTAAATACTGATAGCACTATCCTTGTACCTGTTCTTGGTGCTGAAATAATTTTTGCCATCTACATAAAACAATCCACTGAAATCTTTTAGATAAGCTAGCCTTAGCACATGACCATGTTTAAGGTATATTAGATCTTGGTCCCTGTCCTTGGTGCTGAAACTATGTTTGCTATCTTCAATGAACAATCTACTGAAACCTTTCAAATAAGCTACATATTGTCCTTGTCCTTGGTGCTGAAATCATGTTTGCTAACTACATAAGAGACTGAGATATTTCAGATGAGCTAGCTTTAGCCCAAGATAATGTTTGAAGTATGGTTTCTAATAAATGTTAACATTTCTGCATGCTCTCTTCCAAAGACTTAAACAGAGGAGCTTATTTACAATGTATGTATTGTCTCAGAGGTGATTGCTGTAGCTGGTAGCTGGGTAGGAGGTGTAGCAAATTTGTAGCCAGCCACTCAGCCTTGCTGTAACATTCATAATGTACAGATGTGTGTCCTTCATTGTAAAGCACCCACAGACAGATAGACCTGTCACAATGATGACTTTAATTAGTGGAAATGTCATAGAGTTAGTGAAAAAAATGTATGCACAGTACACAGTATAGTAGATTGCTCATTCAGCTGCTGAGTTTTGTGCCACTGTAGCAATCAAGGGATTGACACATGTAAGAGTGTAACAACACTGAAATTCTGCACAGCCAATGTAGCCATTTGTGTCATATTAGCAACTAAATTCTTGGTATTAAGGAGTGTTGAACAGATCTGGAGGAACGAACTATGAAACTAATTTGGAAACTTGTGGTTGAAAAATGTATATGATATCGATAAGTTATATTACAATGTACAGCCCTTGAAATGCTGGGTGCATATGCACCTTGGTGTACCCAAATTTTTTTAGTGGGTGCACAAGTGCACCCAAATATTTTCATAGTTTTATTTATGTTAGATGCATAGTACTATACAGCATATTCTAAGTGTCAGAAAAATAATAAAGTCACTTTTCTTTAGAAATGAAACATATATTTGCTGAAATTTTGTGCACCCAATTTTTGAGGTTGGGTGTATCAGTGCACCTATTCCCAAAAATGAACTTTGAGCCCTGGTGTACAATGTATTGTCCTACATTTGCCTATTTTCCTGCATTTTAGGTGTCCGTAATGAAGTGAAGGGCATGGGTCTGCTGGACTCCAGGGAAAACTGCTGGAAATTCTTCATCGACAGAGTCAGGAAAAACCTCAAGGTAGGATTAAACAATTAGAAGAGCTACATACGTAGCATGTTTTCACACATGAAATGATAACCAAAATGTGCTGAAAAATGGCAGTAAATGTCAATATCAGACTGATTTTCTCCTCCAGATTAATGTGAATAAAGTTTATATTCGTGCTACTTTTAAATTTGTGGTTTTTGCAGCCACTTCTGTACTGCAAATTTATCATTGTGGCAAATAGATAGTTCACCAACTTTCTTTCTTCTGCACCTGCCACCACCGCGAAAATATAGTCCCATACATGTGTCCATTTTTCTCAGACCAATTTTGCTACCGCGAATAGAACGTGATTTACAGTACGTTTGTTCTGTCCTGAAATTGCATTGGATACCTTTAAGAAAAGATTAAGAAAACAAATTTGTCTCCCCCCTCCCCCAGGTTGTTCTGTGCTTCTCCCCTGTTGGCACCACCCTGCGTGTGCGTAGCCGTAAGTTCCCCACCGTGGTGAACTGCACCTGCATCACGAATATAAAGTGTTCCATTGGATACGTTTAACAAAAGAACTCTTCCCTCCCCAGGTTGTGCTGTGCTTTTCCTCCGTCAGTACGACAAAAAAGAACAAATTTCATGGAGGATCAGAAACCCTTAGAGAAACAGTCAGATATACAATGGCATCATTTACAAATGTACAATTTTAAAATTACAGAAATTTTATTATTAATATTTAAAGTTAAATATATTTAAGATTAAGAATTTTAAGAACAAACTCCTCTCTCCCTGCAGGTTGTTCTGTGTTTCTCCCCCGTTGGCACCACCCTGCGTGTGCGCAGCCGTAAGTTCCCCGCCGTGGTGAACTGCACCTGTATCGACTGGTTCCACGAGTGGCCTCAGGAGGCTCTCAGATCCGTCAGCAACAGGTTCCTGGGAGAGACCGAGGGAATACCTGTAAGTACAACCAGTCTTCTCAGCTTCAGAAAAAAAGCTAAAGCAGCAGACTGAACGAGAAATAAAGAATATTATAATATGAGGTCTATCAGCAACTGCTTTATCCCTGACACTTAATCCCTGTAAGTTCAACCAGTCTTCCCAGCTTTGTGCAGCAAATGTTGTAGTCTTGTACGTCGATGAAGGTTAGACATCCATGTAAAAGATACGCCAAAAAACAGTCACTCAAGCAACTGGATATGATTTTGGAAACGGTCAAACGTTACAGGTAGCATCCACAACCTTTTGTCAGTGACACTAAGAGGCCAGAGGAGAAATTTGTTGTTGTAGTCTTGTACACTATTTTACCAGAAAAAAGTTGAAGCAAGGAACAGAGCTATATATAGGAATTATCATTATGATGGTGCATATAATATCTGCAGCTATCAGCCACTGGTTCATCCTTGATACTGACCAACCTTCTGTAACGCATGTAGGTGTTTCAAATTAAAACACAGTCTTCTAATTTCTAAACCTGAAACTTAATCTGTTCCAGAACGAGGTGAAGTCTTCTGTAGCTGAGTTCATGGCGTACGTGCACACCAGCGTGAACGAGATGTCCCGCGTGTACCTGCAGAACGAGCGCCGCTACAACTACACCACGCCCAAGTCCTTCCTGGAGCAGATCATCCTGTACCAGAACCTGCTGCGCAAGAAGGGCAAGGAGCTGCAGGGCAAGATGGAACGCCTGGAGAACGGGCTGCAGAAGCTGCAGAGTACTGCAGCACAGGTACGACTGCAGAGTATCTTATTTACTTTTGTCTGAAATTTCTGGCCTTCTAAGGCCACCCAAAACACAGTCCTTAAAACCAGAAGGGCAGGGAGCTGCAGGGCAAGATGGAACGCCTGGAGAACGGGCTGCAGAAGCTGCAGAGTACTGCAGCACAGGTACAGCTGCAGTCAATCTTTACTTTTGTCTGAAAATGCCAGGCCTTCCGTGTAAGGCCACCCAAACTTGATGTGATGTATCTCATCTAATCAAGACCTTGAAGGTGAAGAAAGGCAAAGAAAACAATTAAGTTGCAGTAAAACTTTTAAGGAGTCATTTGACTTGATTTTTATCAGTGATCAGCAACAACTTTGTATAGGAGTAAGTTGCCTTCAACGAAGATTTTGCTGCCTTTTGTGGCTAATAGAAAGATGGGGTTTGCCAGGCCTCCATCCAGGAAAGTCGTATAAAGTGTCTTTCCTAAGTACACAAGATCGGTGACATGGCAGGATTCAAACCGGGGCCGCTTGGTTCCAAGCCGAACACTCTGCTGTTATGCCACATGACCCCACAAGATGCATGATTTACTTCATTCACTCATTCATTCCCTCATTCACTCACTCCTTTCTCCCCCCCTCCCCCCTTAGGTGGATGACCTGAAGGCCAAGCTGGCATCCCAGGAGGTGGAGCTGAAGTCTGTATTCACTCATTCATTCCCTCATTCCCTCACTCTCTTCTCCCAAGTGGATGACCTGAAGGTTAAGCTTTATGTGCATCTTCGCAGAAGGAAACAAAACGCTTTTGCTCTGTGTCTTCTTCCTCATCTTCTACAAACAAATAAGGTCAATCAGGAGGTGGAGCTGAAGCATAAGAACTCATTTTTATCCATTCGTAAATCTCTCGTTCCCCCCCTCCCCAGGTGGATGACCTGAAGGCCAAGCTTGCGTCCCAGGAGGTGGAGCTGAAGCTGAAGAACTCATTCTCTCTCATCCATCCCTAACTCTCTCAATCCCTCCCGCCCCCTTTCATTCACTCATTCATTCCCTCACTCTCTCCCCCCAGGTGGATGACCTGAAGGCTAAGCTGGCGTCCCAGGAGGTGGAGCTGAAGCACTAACTTCATTCACTCATTCAGTCCCTCGTTCACTCACTCTTTTCTCTCAGGTGGACAACCTGAAGGCATTGATAGTGTAAAAATCTGAGATTTTCATGTGACATTGTGTATGTGACATTTTAGATGAAACTGAACTGGACTGAACTGAGGTTGTTGATCTGAAGGCCAAGCTTTATTTCTGTCTCATTCACCTTTTCCCCCCCCCCTCCCCAGGTGGATGACCTGAAGGCGAAGCTGGCGTCGCAGGAGGTGGAGCTGAAGCAGAAGAACTCATTTTCTCTCTTATCCATCCCTAACTCTCTCAATCCCTCCTGACCCCTTTCATTCACTCATTCATTCCCTCACTCTCTCCCCCTCAGGTGGATGACCTGAAGGCCAAGCTGGCATTGCAGGAGGTTGAGCTGAAGCAGAAGAACTCATTTTCTCTCTTATCCATTCATTCCTAACATCTCCCCTTCATTCATTCACTCACTCATCCCCCCAGGTGGATGATGTGAAGGCCAAGCTGGCATCCCAGGAGGTAGAGCTGAAGCATTACTTCATTCACTCCACTCAATAGGCATTCATTCCCTCATTCACTCCCACTTTTCTCCCCCCCCCCTCCCCAGGTGGATGACCTGAAGGCCAAGCTGGCGTCCCAAGAGGTGGAGCTGATTGACAGAAGCATTACTTTATTCACTCATTCATTCCCTCCTTCCCTCACTCTTTTCTCCCAGGTGGATGACCTGAAGGCCAAGCTGGCGTCCCAGGAGGTAGAGCTGAAGCATTACTTCATTCCCTCATTCACTCCCACTTTTCTTCTCTCTCCCCAGGTAGATGACCTGAAGGCAAAGCTGGTGTCCCAGGAGGTTGAGCTGAAGCAGAAGAACTCAATTCATCTCTCATCCATCCATTCCTAACTCTCTCATTCCCTCTCCTCAGGTGTATCAATAATGTTTTGTAGATACAGTAGAAGCCGCTTATTTGAAAAGCCAATTTGTCAGCACATTTTTTTCAAATACCCGGCCTTTCCGATTAAGAGACTCTGAGGCTCAAACTCTCGGCCTTCATTGAAACTATGGGGGTGGGGGGTGGACAGGGCATCGAACACATAACGACACAAAGAATACAAACACGAGTCACATTTACGCATTAAAAACAGTGAACTTTATTGAGATCGGTAAATTTGCTTTTAATTTTTTCGTTGACGTACACACGTATTTTTTTCGTTTTTTCCAAGACTGGAAGAACGCCGCGATACGTTAGACATCATGTGCTATCGGCAGGCTCTACTCGAACGAATAAACGAATTATGCTACGTTTGCTACGTACAAAACAAGCAACGAATACATGCACAATCATCAGCCTGTACGTACTTTTACATCACGAAAGTAGCAAAAAATAAAGTTTGATTAACGGAAAACTTCAATCAAGTAGCGTACAGACAAAAATGCAGACGATCGTCATGAAAGCAGTCGATAGCACAATTCACAAAGGATCGCTTCGATCGCTTAATTTTCAGAAACTCCGGCTAGCACACGAAAATTATCGTAACGAATGCAACAATAAACTGTTCATTTCAATGTTAATGACTTTTTAGCTCACGATGTCCGTAGGTTACATGGAAATTTGCGATAGTTGACGGGGATCTCTCGCATTAGCGTTCAGGGAAGTAAACAAAGATGGCGGACGCGGCGTGGGTAGCAGTATCCCATCATCCCATGCGGTGTTTTTTCGCGGCACATTTGGCGTGTTGAAGCGGCGATAGCGCCGTGTCGCAGTCGAAATAAACTCAAAATAATGGCGCAGTACACAAGTAGAGACATGGTTTTGATGATTAAAAAATGAGTTGTATGAGAAATTAAACGTTCTTGGAATAAACAGGCTAAAAGAACACAAAAGCATGCCGCATTTGGCGGCTATGAACCGGCTCGCGCTTCTCATTACGTAGTGCCGATGTGCGCCCGACCGCTCGATCAACGTAAATTTCGGCCTCCTTTGTGGTTCAAAACAGACAACTTCGTCCCTTTTGGCGGCTTGATGTCTTGATATAAGAAATTTTCCGCCGATTTTGGTGATTTGTTTGGCATGTTTTTGGTTGAAAATGTGTTGCAACTTGACAATTTTTTTTTCAAATAGCCGGCATTGGCTTTTCAAATAAGGGGCGTGATAAACAATGGTGTCAATGGGAAACGGTTTGGGTTTTCACAATTCTTTTCAATTAGCAGACTTTTTCTTATAAGCGTTTTGCAATTAACTGGCTGCCACTGTATATGCTAGAAGCAACTTGACAACCTACATGTAAAACGGATTTAAAAAATGAAGCTGAAGCAGAAGAACTCATTTTCTCTCTTTTCCATTACTCTCTCGTTCCACAGGTGGATGACCTGAAGGCCAAGCTTGCCTCCCAGGAAGTGGAGCTCAAGCAGAAAAACGAGGACGCAGACAAGCTCATCCAGGTCGTCGGCGTGGAAACCGAGAAGGTCAGCAAGGAGAAGGCCATCGCTGACGAGGAGGAGAAAAAGGTCAGGGGTCACACAGCTTGGGAAAGATTTAAGATTCTTAAGTTCAATTCTTGGTCATTTTTCAGCTACAAGATGTGTCCAAAGACTAAGCAACAGTTTTAGCAAAATTTTTTATGTTAGCTTTTTGCGTGATTCAAAATTTCACACTTCAACACATAAAACATTCTTGTGGAAATGGGCAGAGTGTAACCAAAAGACTGTCTTAAAGCTTCAACTGGAATCTTTTCTGCATCCATTATTTAGTCTGCTGTATCGTCACTGTCCTGAAATGTGACCCTACTGTCTTGTCAAAACACATCATCCTGCAAATCTAGTGGCAGCTGTAATGGCTGAATTCTAAGCGAGGCCTATTCTAACAAAACATTTCGACAAAATATACTTAGTAATTCACATTAATGTAAATATACATTTTACGTTTCCACCCAAAGGTTGCCATCATTAACGAGGAGGTGAATGAGAAGGCAGCGTCCTGCGAAGCCAACCTGGCCAAGGCTGAACCCTTTCTTTATTTAGATGCCCCAAGATTTTCCACCATGAAATTGCATTGACGAGTCCCTCCATGCTTCCCCCCAAAGGTTGCCATCATTAACCATGAGGTGAGTGAGAAGGCAGCATCCTGCGAGGCTGATCTGGCCAAGGCTGAACCTGCCCTCCTCGCCGCGCAGGCCGCTCTGGACACGCTCAACAAGACCAACCTCACCGAGCTCAAGTCCTTCGGTTTGTAACTGCCATAACCTTTTCTTGTCCATCTGTGTTGGTAGAAGTTATTAGGAAACAAGTTTAAACTGTAATTTCCAACACAAGAAATTGGACTCACCCAAATTTTCGACTGTACAACTCCAGTCTTTGTCAAGGAATGAGCAATCCACCGCTTCTGTGACGTCACGCAGGTAACACACGTCAGAGTAAAGAGACTCTTTTTACACAACCAAGTTTTTTATTCAGCCAACATTTTTTGTGTCACCTTCCTCAGGGCAATTCTGACTGGTTCACATTGCACTGCAGCACAGGTGTTGCTGCTACAGATGCATTCCCAAACGTACAATATATCTACATGTACACATATGCGTGGTTACAGGGAAATGTGAACCAGTCAAAATTTCCCTGTGGAAGACAGTCACCGAAACGTCAGCTGAATTATCAGTGACTTACCAACCTGATGAAACCATTCACAATGCATTGGTTTGGATCTCTGTTTATAGTACTACCTTATCTATTCCAGGTTCCCCGCCGGCTGCTGTGATAAACGTGACAGCCGGAGTAATGGTGCTGCTTGCACCAGGAGGCAAGGTGCCAAAAGACAGGAGCTGGAAGGCAGCCAAGGTGGTCATGGCCAAGGTACGAAACTTCTGTTTTGTTCCTATTGATAAAAAATAATATAGAAGTTTATTGCAAATACATGGGGCTAATTGCAGATTACAAAGTAGAAAAGAACAATGAAACGTAGTATAAAATAACTAAAATCTACATGATAAAAGGTAGTTGTCTAGAGCTATAGTGGCTATGTCTATGAATAATATGTAGTGTACTTTGTTGGTTCTGCAAGACATTTTAAGAAGAAATTTATCAAGAGGATAATGAAAGAGTCCTGTAAGGTCCACTGCTCACCATGTACTTGTCCAATAGAACTATAACTGCAATATTCTCTTAGCATCTGTATTTGTTGTCACAGTCGTCTGTGTGTAAAAGACTAGCATTTCAGTGAGATAGTAAATTGAATGAGACATGTTGTCATTTTTAAAAGTATTACTAAATTATTGTAAAAAGGAAAGGATTTTCATTTTTAACATGCACAGTTTGAGGATTTGAGAACTGTCAGAAAACCATCCATCCCAACCTACAAATCTACAAACAAGGCATTTGACTCTAACTTGTTTGTTTGTTTGTTTGTTTGTGTCCAGGTTGATGACTTCCTGAACCAGCTGGTGAACTATGGCAAAGAGAACGTCCATGAGAACTGTCAGACTCTAACTTGTTTTTTTGTTTGTTTGTTTGTTTGTGCACAGGTTGATGACTTCCTGAACCAGCTGGTGAACTATGACAAGGAGAACGTCCACGAGAACTGTCAGAAGGCCATCCAGCCGTACCTCGCCGACAAGGAGTTTGACCCTGACTTCATCCGCGCCAAGTCACAGGCTGCAGCAGGTACGTTTGTTTCTTTGTTTTGTTTTGTTGTATATACATGCAATGGGCCAGATAGTGCACAGTTACTAGATAGTACATGTAATTTCTATGATCCAATTCTTTTTGAGGATATCAGATTGGTACCATTGTCCTTCTCCCTGGTGCTGAAATCGTGTTTGCTGTGTAGTACAGAAATAGCAGATAGGTACATAGAGGCTGCGTATTTGTCAGTTCTGTGTGCCTGGTCCTCAAGTATTTAGTATTATGATACTATATGATAAACTTTGCAAATGCTTAGTTTTCAATTACTACTATTGCCAGTGGAAAGAAGTTGCAGTAAAGATATCTTCATTCATCCATCCATCCATTCACTCACTCACTCCTTCATTCATTCCTGCAGGTCTGTGTGCCTGGGTGATCAACATCATGAAGTTCTACGAGGTTTACTGCGACGTGGAGCCGAAGAGAATCGCGCTGAACCAGGCCAACGCTGAGCTGGCGGCCGCACAGGACAAACTCGCTACCATCAAGGCCAAGATTCAGGTGAATTTTAACTGTTTAACCTTACTTAATATATTTCAAAACAATTGTACAAGTTAGATAAAACTTGATTATGCACCTTCTACGTTATAACAACAATACTATTAGACTTATTTTTCTATCAAGTAAAGATAAGTATGGGATGAGAATGTGCTTAATAAAGAATAATCGTTGATTCAATTTGGTGAAATTTCTAGCATTAGTCATTTTTTTTAGATATTGTCCAAATAAAAAGTGTGTAATGCACTGGTTACAACTTACATATAGGATGGTTACCATAATTTGCTATTTGAATCAGTAGAATATGATTGATACTGATATAATACTGATATAAAAGATGAAGAAAGTAATATACCTGGTACATGATTGGTACATGTACATGTACTTAAATTTGCTATTTGAATCCAATTTCATAGAAATCCAGTTATGAAAGGACTATGAGACATGACTATTAAGCATTGTATTTTGCGGTTGTCAGGAACTGGATGCTAACCTGGCAGAGCTGACAGCTGCGTTTGAGAAGGCCACGGCCGAGAAGCTGCGCTGTCAGGAGGAGGCTGAGAGCACACAGAGGACCATCTCTCTCGCTAACAGGTCAGTAACATCATTATATATAACATCCAGTTTAATTTGGCCCATCCAAAGAATTTTGGGACTTCTAGTTGACTTTGGGCCTTCCGGTGGAATTGGGGCCTTCCGGTTTAATTTGGGACTAATTAATATCTCTGTTACCTTACACCCAGTTGGGCCAGTATTGCCAACGAAAGTAAAAATGATGTAAGAAGTGCATAGCAGCCATTAGTGACCCATAGGTATTAATCATCTAGTGATAATGCATCTAGAGACGATATGCCAACTGTACTTGGTACAGTTCCACTCTACGATAATTATAATTATTAAACAATAAAAATAGTTTTTGAACACCTCAAACCTTTGTTGGCGGTCTTGCGTCCGAGAATTAACGTGCATTGGGCAGAATCTAGAGCCCCGTTTATCTAAAATCCATTTTATCTGTCAGACTTGTCGGCGGCCTTGCGTCTGAGAACGTACGTTGGGCGGAGTCTGTGGCCCAGTTTAAGGAGCAGGAGAAGATGCTGGTGGGAGATGTGCTGTCATGAAATATAAAACTTAGTAATACATTTCTATAACTCTATGTCTGTGTACCTCCAAATTTTACAGACTTGTTGGCGGCCTTGCGTCTGAGAACGTGCGTTGGGCGGAGTCTGTGGCCCAGTTTAAGGAGCAGGAGAAGATGCTGGTGGGAGATGTGCTGTCATGAAATACAAAACTTACATTTCTATAACTGTATGTCTGTGTACCTCCAAATTTTACAGACTTGTTGGCGGCCTTGCGTCTGAGAACGTGCGTTGGGCGGAGTCTGTGGCCCAGTTTAAGGAGCAGGAGAAGATGCTGGTGGGAGATGTGCTGTCATGAAATATAAAACTTACATTGCTTTTCCAGTAAGCTTAACTGTATGTCTGTGTACCTCCAAATTTTACAGACTTGTTGGCGGCCTTGCGTCTGAGAACGTGCGTTGGGCAGAGTCTGTGGCCCAGTTTAAGGAGCAGGAGAAGATGCTGGTGGGAGATGTGCTGTCATGAAATACAAAACTTACATTTCTATAACTGTATGTCTGTGTACCTCCAATTTTTACAGACTCGTTGGCGGCCTTGCGTCTGAGAACGTGCGTTGGGCGGAGTCTGTGGCCCAGTTTAAGGAGCAGGAGAAGATGCTGGTGGGAGACGTGCCGTCATGAAATACAAAACTTACATTTCTATAACTGTATGTCTGTGTACCTACAATTTTTACAGACTCGTTGGCGGCCTTGCGTCTGAGAACGTGCGTTGGGCGGAGTCTGTGGCCCAGTTTAAGGAGCAGGAGAAGATGCTGGTGGGAGATGTGCTGCTCATCACGGCCTTTGTGTCGTACGTCGGCTGCTTCACCAAGAAGTACCGCATGGACCTCATGGACGACCGCTGGCTGCCCTTCATGAAGGGACTCAAGGTATGGCAGGGAATCATGATTCTTGTTTGTTACTTACTAATAGTACGTTTTCAAATGTGGTTTGAGTTTGCCAATTATATTTATCCATTTAATATGTAAAAGCTTTTAGCATTTACAACAAAGCCTTTTTGAGGAAAACAGACAAAAAATTTTGCCTTAAAGTTTGTACTTTTTGTTATCGTCAATGGTAGCATCAGTATGGGCATGATTGGCCACTCTAAGCAACCAAATTACTGGTAGGACAAAATTAGTTTATAACAACAAATGGTAGGAGCAGCCAGACAATATGACAAAAAAAGGGACTTTAAATTGTATTTATTCAATGTAATTATTCATTCTCAACCCTTCCCAGTTTCCTATCCCCATATTAAACCCTGCACTAGATCCATGTTTTTGGTAATGAAACTGCAGTGTTTGGGAAAATATAGGGAACACATAAAATCCGATCCTTTTCTCCCCCAGGTGCCCATCCCCATCACCCCTGAGCTGGACCCCCTCTCCATGCTGACGGACGATGCCGACATCGCCAGCTGGAACAACGAGGGGTTGCCTAGCGACCGCATGTCCACCGAGAACGCCACCATCCTGTCCAACTGTGAGCGCTGGCCGCTCATGATCGACCCACAGCTCCAGGGCATCAAGTGGATCAAGCAGAAGTACGGCACCGACCTGAAGGTGGTGAGACTCGGACAGAGGGGGTGAGTTGGGTTGAAAATATTGTTTTTTTTTAGTTATTTTGGGGGTTTTGCAGTCATTTTCTGCTTTCCTGAATACTTCCATCAGGTTGGTTTAAAGTAGTTGACTGAATAAAGAGACTCTTTTTACACTACAGTGAGTGTTTTATTCAGCTGACATTTTGGTAAACCTGGTAGTCATTGCACTGAGGAGGGTGACACTGACAGTCTCCAAAATGTTGGCTGGATTAATTTTGATTGTGTAACATGAGTCTCTTTATTTATTTTTAGAAATATCTGTAGTTCGAAAGGAAGCTGTTGTGGTTGTACATAACCCTACCCAACATGTAACTTATTGTTCTTCTTGGTTTATTTTTTTGTTTAATTTTCTTGTTTTCTAACTCTTTAATTTCTCCCCACAGTTACCTTGATGTGATAGAGCGGGCCCTGTCAGACGGAGACACGGTGCTGATAGAGAACCTGGAAGAGGAGACAGACCCGGTTCTGGACCCTGTGCTGGGCAGGAACACCATCAAGAAGGGACGGTAAGGGGACTTCAGTTGTATTGGCTTAGTATCAGGGCTCAAAATCCTTTTTTCTCCATACCTGCACTGCTACAGGTAACATTGAAAATTACTGTGACAATGTACTAGTACCCTCACCAGACAATTTTACGAGGTCCTGCAGTCTGCTTACACTTACTCACACTCAATCACTATCCGGTCTGATGTCTGTTGTTCCCCCTCTTCTGAGAGTTAGATGTGCTTGCATACTGATGCTGATCAGGCTGGATGGTAGCCCGCCCAGGCTTGATTTGCCCATCTTGTGGGTTAACGTTATCATGTAGGTTTAGGTGATGGAAGTTCTCCCTTATGTTGTCCATCCATCTCTTCCTTGGATGCCCTTGTGGGTTTTGGCCTTAGATTTCATTTTATCCTCAATGACATACATTATCAGTATTTTGGCTGAAGGGACTACCCATATGTGCCAAAGATCAATTAAAAAATTAAAAAGAAAAAATTATAAAATGTCCACGTTTTGTCCCACAGCTACATCAAAATCGGAGACAAGGAGTGCGAGTACAACCCTAACTTCCGTCTGATCCTGCACACCAAGCTGGCCAACCCTCACTACAAGCCGGAGATGCAGGCTCAGTCCACCCTCATCAACTTCACTGTGACCAGGGACGGCCTGGAGGACCAGTTACTGGCTGAAGTGGTACGCTGCGAGAGGCCTGATCTCGAGACACTCAAGGTAAGGATCTGAGCGTGTGTATTGTCTTTAACCCAAACCACAAAGTCAGGTTTGGAGTGCTAGGTCCTGAGCATTTGGAGGATCCAAAGTTGTCTTCACTTGGCTTTCCTAGTTCTGAATGTCAGTTTTCTGGTGAGTAGGTCAGCATTGTTCGGGGATCAAATTTGACTCAAATTTAACTCAAATTTGAGTTGATTCATACTGGAAAATATGCGTGGCCTAAATCTGGCCAGAATATTCCTGAACTTCAGCCAACCTTGGTTGGTTAGGTGGGCAAGGTTCTGAATGTGTGACAGGCTACAGACAGGCAAAGTCTAATTTTTTTTCTCCCCCCTCCTCTTCTCAGAGCGAGCTGACACGTCAGCAGAACGAGTTTAAGATCACACTGAAGGGTTTGGAGGACAACCTTCTGTCCCGCCTGTCCTCCGCCGAGGGAAACTTCCTTGGGGACACCGCACTGGTGGAGAACCTGGAGACAACCAAGCGCACGGCCGCCGAGATCGAGGTTAAGGTGGGTAGAAAACTTCTTAAATCACAAACAATGTAGATTGTGTAGCATCTCACGATCTTGGAAGAATGATAGAGTCAGGCTATTCGTATTTAGAAGTAACAAAACTTGTTTTAAGTAACATCATTGTCACCTCTGCATTGTGGTCAATTGTTTGCTGGTCAACTTAGTTTCATAGTAGCAACTTAGACAAGTTGCTACTATATGAAACTATGAAACAATACATGTAAATTTTCCTGCATATGGTTCATGTACTTTTACGGTTTCCCCAAGGGCATTAAAAAATGCCAGTAGGCAAATGTTGTCCCTTGTGACATGAAATAAACATCAAATATAAATAACTCATTTATTGATTTGTATACCGTAGGTTAACGAGGCAAAGGTAACGGAGGTGAAGATTAACGAGGCGCGTGAGTGGTACCGACCTGCCGCGGCCCGAGCCTCTCTTCTCTTCTTCATCCTCACCAAACAAACAAACAAACAAACAAATAACTTGTTAATTACCTTGTTCCGCAGGTTAACGAGGCGAAGGTAACGGAGGTGAAGATTAATGAGGCCCGTGAGTGGTACCGACCCGCCGCAGCCCGAGCCTCTTCTTCATCCTCACCAAACAAACAAACAAACAAACAAACAAATAACTTGTTAATTACCTTGTTCCGTAGGTTAACGAGGCAAAGGTAACGGAGGTGAAGATTAACGAGGCGCGTGAGTGGTACCGACCTGCCGCAGCCCGAGCCTCTCTTCTCTTCTTCACCCTCAACAAACAAACAAACAAACAAATAACTTGTTAATTACCTTGTACTGTAGGTTAACGAGGCGAAGGTAACGGAGGTGAAGATTAACGAAGCGCGTGAGTGGTACCGACCCGCCGCCGCCCGAGCCTCTCTCCTCTTCTTCATCCTAAACGACCTGAACAAGATCAACCCGCTCTACCAGTTCTCTCTCAAGGTGGGTGTGTCATCTACTGGGAAAATCGTCACGCTAATCAGTTGTTACTGTGTGGACTAGCCAGCTCATGATAGATTTTTTTATCCAATGTGATCATTGTGCCATTGGTGTGAGGGGTAAGTTGAAGAAGAATGGTCCCTTCTCTGACTTTCAGTTATAAACCTGTTGATCTTGTGTCATTGACGAAAGGTATAGTAGTGGATGCTGACTGTTTCCAAAATCATAATATCCAGTAACTGTTGCAACAGTTACTATTTTTTGGCATACCTTTAAGTATGGTGTTTAGCAAGACTGTATAATTATCACCGGCCATACAGGAGGGAGATGGCAAACAAGATAAGACAGCAAGCCAAAGATATGCTACATATGACACAAGTAAAGACCACGGGACTTACAAACGTAAGAGAGTGGCAGGACAATACTAAATGTCTTCCTTCCTCTACCAGGCCTTCAGCGTTGTGTTCAACAAGGCCATCGAACGTGCTACGCCATCTGAGGAGGTCAAAGTGCGTGTGGTGAACCTGATTGACTCCATCACCTGGTCCGTGTTCATCTACACGACACGTGGTCTGTTTGAGCGGGACAAGCTCACCTTCACCGCACAGGTGGCCTTCCAGGTGAGTTTACCTGTACCAGTACCTGTCTGACAGGTGTACAGCTTGTAGCAGGTATTTTTTTGTTTACATGAAGCATATATATTATGTAGTCCAGTGATTAGCGACCCTGCCTCAAGACCAAGTCAGAGGTTGGGAGTTCGAATCCTGGCTGATGTCACTCACCCGACATGCACACTAAATGTTGCAGTCCTTAGGCATGCGTTAAGTCCAGTGGTTAGCAACCCTGGCCTGCCGCTGGACCAAGCGGTTGGGAGTTTGAATCCCGGCTTTGTTGATATGCACGCTACTGTAAAACATTGCAGTTCTGATAGGCACGTATAGTCCAGTGGTTAGCAACCCTGCCTCAGGACCAAGAGGTTGCGAGCTGTTGTTGCTACCTGACTTGCATGCTACTGGACAGGGTCGCAATTCTTAGGACATGACGTTAAGCCATGGTCCACTGTTCATTGTGCTTGTCAAAAAGTAAGTAACCAGTAGCCAGTCTTTAAGGCTTTGTGCATCCTTCCTTTCTCCCAGGTGCTCCTGATGCAGAAGCTGATAGACCCTTAGGCCCCATTACCACTAGGTTAAAATTGTCTGGATCGAGCCGAATTGATTCTCTTTGATCCGGTTCAATCTGGCTTGAAGCCAGGTCCAAGCTAATCAATTGGGCTCGATCCAGACAATTTTAACCTAGTGGGTTAAGTGGCCTTAGGCAAAGTCTTAGATCTGCATGCATGCTAACTGTTAGCCAATCTTGAAGACATTGTGCATGTTCCTTTGTTACAGGTGCTCCTGATGCAGAAGATGATCAACCCTTAGGCATAGCATCCATGTAACCCTTAGCCCATCTTCAAGTTTATGATGTTGTGCATCCTTCTTTCCTTGCATGTACTCCTGATGCAGAAGCTAATCAACCCTTAGGCAAAACCTTAGATCTGTGTGCATACATGTTACAATTACTGTTGTAAGTAAAATAGTATTAGCCCATATGTTAGTCTCAGATCTTCATGTGTGCATAGTATTATATACAGGAAGTAACTGTTAGCCCATCTTTAAGGCTTTGTGCACGTTCCTTCTTCACAGGTCCTCCTGATGCAGAAGCTGATCAACCCTGCGGAGCTGGACTTCCTTCTGCGCTTCCCCGCCCAGGTGAACGTCACCTCACCTGTCGACTTCCTGTCGCACAACAGCTGGGGAGGAGTCAAGGTAAGACACACCTGGTCTGCAAATACACCTGTCCTGCAAACACACCTAGCCTGCAAATGAACAAAGCTCAGGCCACTAGTACTGCCAAGTCACTAGTACTGACAAGCCACTAGTACTGCCATTGCATGTGAAGAAAGCTGTACAAATTTGACAGCCATTCTTTCTGAAAATCAAGCGATTTCATACTAAGTTCTAGATAATTTGAAATTTTAGAAAAGGTCCATCAATTTTTACTTCCAAGCAATGTTTCTCCAGCAACTTTTCTAGTTCAAAACTGCATTTTTTATTACGGTTATTGATAACAATAAATGTTGTGCTCTACACACACACACATACAAATACACACACACACACACACACACAGACACACACAGACACACACATACACACACACACACACATACACACACACAA